CAGCGGGCCTCTGAGGTTTCTTCTCTAAAGAAAAAGAAAACACACAAAACTATCTGTGCACCTGGCCTGGTTTGACTGTAACATGTGGATACAGGGGACAGGGGTGCTCACCCCTCACTTCCCGCACCTAACCCGCATCACGTGGACCACTGGTCGCAAACAATTGGCTGTGATTGGCTGAATCCATTGCTTTGGGTCTCAGGTAAGGCAGAACATCATGGTCAAAGGATACAGAGGAAGACTGCTCTATTCATGACAGCCAGGAAGCAGAGAGAGTTCTGCTCACCAGGGACAAAATATAGACCCCAAAGGCACACCCCCAGTGACCGACTTCCTCCAGCCATTCTTTGCCTGCCTATAGTCACCACCCAGTACAGTAGTCCTTTCAAATTATCAATCCACCTAGTGGATTAATCCACTGATGACCTTATAGATCACATAATCACAACGCCTCTGAACATTCTTGCATTCCTTCACACATGAGCTTTCACACTTCACAGCCAAACCATAACAAGCCCTTCTTAGCACCATGGCGTTGCCATCCTGTGTGGTTACGCCTGCCACCATTGTTCAGGAGTGTGTAAGTGGACGTGCTGAGACTATCTGCACAGCCCAGAAGTCCGTGGTGCTGCTTCCTGGGCGAAGGCACGAACTCAGCAGGCAGCAACCCCCCCAGTCGCTGCACCACCTCTGATGTCCTAACTGTGGGGAAGAGAGGACTGCAGGCTGTTGCTGGGATCTCTCACTGTTCTGCCTAGTCCACAGCCCAGTTTCTGTCACTCAGGGCCCATCTGGGAAAGCAGAAACCACACCCCGTATTTCAAACATAGGGGCTTATTTCAGATTTGTCACAGAAAAAAAAAAAAAAAAGACCAGAGACGTGAATTGGGGAACAAGGAAGCGCCCACACCCTGAGTCCTTCAGGACAGCCAGGAAGCAGAGAGAGTTCTGCTCACCAGGGACAAAATATAGACCCCAAAGGCACACCTAGGGTCTATATATTTTGACAGTCCCTGTCAGAAAGGCTCCCTGTGGAGAGAAGGGGAGAAGGAGCTTAACCGCTCCCTTCTTGCCCTCCAGATTTCTGCGGTGCCTCATGTTAGCTAACCCCAGCCAGAAGCCAGCTTCCCTGGGAGCCGGGGACAGCAACCCGCAGGGTCAGCCCCCAGCGTGTGGTAGGGCAGAGCAGCTGGAGGACAGGCCAGGAGCAGGCCTGAGGGCCAGCAGCCTGGGTTTATGCCCTGCCTGCTCATGTCGTGTCCCATCCCAGTGTTCATGCTGCTGTTCTGGACCCTGGTGAAGGAGACAGAGCTGCCCCCTTGGGTCTTTGTGGATTCTTTATCCTCCACCTGGAGGGACAGTGCTTTGGGGAGGGAGGGAGCCTTCATTCTTCGCAGTTTTTCCTGGTTTCCTTTGGGGGGATTTACTCATTTAGCAGCCCACCTCCCTACTCCCCTTAGGAAAGCCATGTCCCAGTTTTCTTTGCGCCCTCCTGTTCCTCTCCTCTGCGTCTCTGGTTCTCCAGACCAGAGACCCCTAACCCAGGGCATGCTTCCCCAGGATAATTCATTCCAGCGTAATGCCAGTGTGGACCGTCTGTCTAAGGAGATGCCATCTACTAATCAGTTTGTATTGTGTTTCCAATAAATTCCTGGAAATAACGCCTGGCTTTGTGCTCTCCTTGACTGGAACGGTGGCTCAGCTCTGAGGCTCTGGGTGCACACACCCCAGGACTCCATGTCAGGAGGTCCTTGTCTCAGGTAATGAGGCCAGGCCAGTTTGATTGTGTCCCCAGTCACACCAGACTCCCAGGAGCCTTTCTCTACTGAGGGACTGTGTTTTCTCATGTCACATCCTGACCCTGCACCCCCTAGGTCTTGGGGGTAGAAAGAACAGCAGGCAGACCTTTCCCTAGTAACTACCCCAAGGAGTCACAGTTGTACCAGTTCTGGGTACCTGTGCCAGGGAGCTTGGAATGGCACATTGAGGGGGCTTCTGTGGCTCAGCACAGGGCTTCCCTGTCCCACTGCCCTCTTTTAGTTTCTCTGTCAAGGTTACCACAGAGAAAGATGAGGTGACCCCTGTGTGTGACCCTTATTTGCTGGGTTTTATGAGAGATGAAAGACAAAAAGCTGGCACTGAGTTTCTTCCAAGGGTTTCCATGGAGAAGTAGGACGTGTCCAGGTTCTTGGAGAGAGGAAAAGTTGAGATTAAGGCCGTATTGGTAGTGTGCAGGAGTTCTGGGATGGAGGGGTCAGTACCGCTGGATGATGGTCAGGGGAGATTTTGTGGAAGCAGAGAGAACCCTCAGGGAAGAACACAGAGGCCCCTCCCTAGTGGAATCCCTCAGGTGCTGCGTGGTTCTGGTGCGTCTACCCCAACTTGTACTGCCTCCCTCCTGGGAGGTCATCTGTCACTAGTGTTGCGTGCCCTGCCTCTCCAGGAGGGCCACCCCTAATTCCAGGCCAGGGCCGCATTTTAATGCTCAGGCTTCCTGGGGAGCTGCTTCTCCTCTCCTGGATGAGTTGCCCTTGCTCTGAAGTGGTCCGGAGCTGCGGAGGTTCATGCAGAAACCCTGACAACTCCTCTAGAGCTGTGGCTGCTCAACTCTCCAGGCCTCTTTTGGCTTCTTGGTTTTCCAGTGCTGGGGATGGGACCCAGGGCCTAGTACATGCTAGGCAAGTGCTCTACTACTAGGTTACACCCCGGTCCATTTGCATTTTGTTCTGTTTGGTACTGGGGTTTGAACCCAGGGATGCTCTACCCCTGAGCTATACCCAGCTCTTTTTATTTTTTGAGACTGGTCCTTGGTAAGTTTCCCAGGCTGACCTGCAGCTTGAGATCCTCCTGCCTCAGCCTCCCAAGTTGCCGGGATTGCAGGTGTGCACCACTGTGCCCTGCTGGCTCCTTGCTTAGTGACCCTTTTACAGGTTCTTTGGGAGATTGTTTTCTTATTCCCAGAATGAGCCACTTTAGTCCTGTGTCATCTCTAAGCCCTCTTCCCACAGAGCCAAGCCTCCTAATAATCCTGTCAGCTTTCTTCCCCAAGACTCTGAAATAGTACCATTCTCCTCACCAGAGGAGGTGACCTGCTACCTCTCATAATCAGACCCTCCTGCTACCCATAGGTTGTATCCACCCACCCACTCCCTAGGGCCTTGCAGTAGAGTATCCTGACCCAGACCAGACTGGTACTTACTAGCAGTGTAGCATTGGGCAAGTCCCTCAACCTCTCTGGGTCTCAATGTTTTCATCTGTAATATGGGTAATAATAGTGTCTACCTTATAGGACTAAAGAAATTGGGATGTGTAAGGTGCTTAGAAGAGGGCCTGGCACTCATAGTATGAATTGCTTTATCATCTCATTCTTATCGTTCCTTTCTTCTCCTGCCACTATATTAAATCTCTCCATTCAGTCCAGGAAACAATAGAAATGTCAACCACCAAAACCTCTGTCCTCTACTTAGCTTCATCTCAGCCCCTTATTGGCAAATTTGTTGAAAGAGGAAGGAATTGTCTCCATGACTTCAAATCTCATGAATTCCTCAATTCCTTAAAGTGCTCTGTGGCTCCCCTTCTGCCCCTCCTGCAGCCTCTCCATCAAGTCACTAATGACCATCTGATTGTCAAGTCCAGTACTCTTCTTAGAGGGTGACATCTTAGCCATCCTCTCTGAGCCTCTTGAGCACTGGAAGCTGTGGTCGCACATGACTTTCCAGTCTTCGTGCACTAACACCTCTATTCTCAGAGCTACACCAACATTCCGAGATGACACAGATTTTTTTCAGGAAAACAATTTTGGACATAGTAGCAGTCACCTCTGCATCCCTTTCATTGTCTCCCTTCACTTTTTTATCACCCCAATACTTTCAGTGCATGCATACAACTCCATAACCAACATACAACAGAAGGGAACCCTGGATGTGCTACAGGGTCTTGCTAATTTGCCCAGGCTGGCCTTGAACTTGCAATTCTCCTGCCTCACGCTCCTGAGTAGGTGGGATTGCAGGAATGTACCATCTAACCCTGCTGCACTTTTTTTTTTTTGGTATGGGGGTCTGGGGACTTGTCTCCCAAACAGAACAACCTCAGTCCTTGAATCCCCTTGTCAACCCTCCCCCACCCAGCATTCACTGCAGAAAGGGATTGGCTTTGACCATAGTACAGTTCCTGTCTCCCATGTCCAGTCCTGTGTGAAGGTGAGACCCCAGGCTCCTGAAAACCTGAGACAACAGGAGGCTGTGATTCCAGGTTCCAGGGCCTGACAGCTTCTGCCCTGTGCCTTGTGCTGCCACGTTGGACAGGCCTCCGGTTCCCAGGTATGGTGGCAACCACTCTCCCACAGATCCTCCAGTTCTCACCGCTGCCCTGCGCTCCAGTCTGGGCAAGCTGAGGGTAGACGAGCTGCAACCACAAAAGGGGCATGGTGGAGAGACCAGCCTGAGGTCCGAGTGCAGACAGGCCTGTTCAGGAAGCACCGTCTGATTCCCAAACTTCCCCGGGCCTCATCTGTACCATTTGGGCGCTGCCACCTTGTTGGAGAGCCATGAGGAGAAAATGAAATAATAATTTATGTAAAAACTGCCAGGGGATTCCCTGGCACAGAGCTAATGTTAAAAAACAAAAAAAGTAGAAGGGCTAATTTTCATCATTTCCTATCTGGGATCCCCACTTCATGTACCTGGACTAAGACCCTCTTTCAGCTGCTGTGCCCTGACCCATGTCCTGGGATATTCCCTATTCTCTTCTTGGCTCCTGCAGGAGCAGGAGTAGTATATGTAAAATATATGGGAACAGAGGAAGAGGGAGAGAGATGACCTCAACTGTGGTAGGGGTCACACACAGTGAGGAATGTCCATCCACCAGCTGGAATACCCAGTGACAGACTCTACCATGTCCCTCGTCACCTGGTGCCCTGACACTACAGATGTAACAAGTCACTGGGGAGCACGTAGGGTGGGCCACTCATGATGCCTGTGTGTGTGGAGACCCCCAGGTGCTTGTTCTCCAGGAAGCCTTTATTAAGGTTCTTCTCAGTGGTGGGCAGTGGATCCGTGGGGACAGAGGGATGGGATGGCACACCACATGTTCAACCACAGGGGCTGATGGCTTTAGAGGGGAAGGGAGGTTACAGGGACCCTAGGAGCCTGGCATTCTGGGCTGGGAATGGCAGGAGGGTGAATGATGGCAATGTCCAGGGCTCAGCAGGGGGCACACTGAGGTGCTCAGCCAATGTGCATGGAGAATCTGTGGAGGTTGGGAGAGTCGTTTGGCAGGGGTGGCTCTCGGGATAGCATTCAGGCACATGGTGACTGCTTTGGGCCCACAGCAAGACGTCACCCCAAGCACTTCTTGCGGGAAGGGTCCTGAGTCACAGACAGGGCCACAGAGCTTTGCGCTCGCTCCCACACGTACCTGGGAGGGATAGATGGGCCGGGGTCAGGCAAAGCCAGACCCTGAGGATTCCAGGGAAAGGAAGGCAGACCCACAGTTTGGGATCCCCCCATTTACTCACGAGGTCCCAGCTGGCACCAGGAGGCTGTCATCTGGGGCCAGGCCCAAGTGCTCTTCCCCCAGTGTCACCACTGAGGAGCCTTCCTATGAAAGAAGAGCAGGAGAATCCAATAGAGGACGTCGGGCCTCAACATCTGTCTGAAAGTCCCCAAGTCTGCCTTGAAAGGAGACCTGAGAGCAGGGCCCTCCATGGGAGCACGAGCCCAGTAACAGCCTGATCCCCATGGACAGGAGGTGGTGCCACCCTCTCCCTGGGCCCCACTTGCCAGCTGCCACAGCCACAGATCCACGTCCTGTTCCAGGCCTCTACTCCTGCCTTGCCCATGGACGATTACCTGGTGGGAGGTGAAACAGATTTTTCTGCTGCTTCCTACCCCACTTGAGAGATGGCCTTGAACCTGACCCCCAGGCACCAGACCTAAGTGGGGCAGAGGTGGGGCCTAGACTAGCCGCATCCTGTGTGCGGGGCAGAAACCAGAACGTGGAGAAGAAGGCCTCCCTGCAGCCCACGTGTTCCTGGGCATCATGCAGGCCTGCCCCCCACAAACGCATCCGAGGTTCCTCTCAAGTTGCTCACCTGAGCATGCGCCAGGGCACACTAGGGACACACACCTCAGCTTCCTACAGGGTGCCCACCTCCCTTCCTCTGTGGGGTGTTATGAGTCTGGCCGAAGTTTGAAGAGGGATGAGGAGAGCCAGGCTGAGGGCTTTCCACCTGTGCTGGCCTGAAAGCCTGCAGCCTCTGTGCTCAGTGACTATTTGTTGGTGTAAACAGGTGAGATCAGGGTGTGAAAGTGGCAGATGCAGGCCAGCAGGCGGGTGCAGGGCCAGACACCACTGCTGCATGAGGGGGTGGGACGGGATTCGGGGTCCACCTTCTACTCTCATAACTCTGCCTAAGCTCCGGGCAGCTGTAGTACCAAGAAGAAGCAGGCCAGACCTCTAAGGGCAGGCCTGTGCCCAGTGAGCATGGCTTCCTGGGGGCACTAATCCTGCCCAAATGGGATGTGCCAGGGCAAACTGCAACACAAGGGAACCACCAGCCTGCAGGCAGCTCGCCCTGCTGCCCTCCTGATCAGTCCCCGCAAAGTACAGGGTGATCTTTTTGAAACACTACTCTGGTCTCCTGGTTCCTCTGCTTCAACGCTTGAAGCCCCATTGCCTCTAGGACAAGTTCTTCCACCTTGCCAGACCAGCAGACCCGCCGGGACTTGGGCCCTGCGTACTGCTTCACGGTCTACTGCCTGGCCCCCTGCCTCCCCTTCCCCACCCCAGCTCTCAACAACCTCAGCAGAGGTGCATGGTCAGCAACCAGGGCCAAAAAGGGCTTGTGCTCAGTGCTCCAGCCAAATCTGGAACTTGCTGTCCAGCTTGCAGTCCAGACTGGTTCAAGCCTTCATGCCTTTGCTTCTGTTTCTCTCTCATCTAGAACATCCTCTCCACCTCCCTTTCCAACCTTTGCAAATGCCTTTAAACCAGCTTTAAACTCAACTTGCCTATAACCTCCTCCAGGAAGCCTTTGTTGACTTCTCTCCCTATTGGAATTGTTCCTTTACCTCCTCTGGCTTCTTGTAGCTTCTCTATCAAATAATGTATCTCACTATTGTGGCAGTTGTGGATTAACTTGTCTGAGAACTTGGCTAGACCACACACTCTGTGAGGCAGTGACTCCATCCTGCTCTTCTGCCAAAGCCTGAGACAGAATAGGCACTCAATAAATGGTGAATGAAAGGTCAGCTGTGTTTGGCTCTTTCTCTGAGCGTGTCTACCCAATCCTTATCCCAAACAGATCTCCAGCTTCCAGGATGTGACTGACCAAAAGCTCAGAATTCCTAGCAGGAGGTAAGCTGCAGATGCTCAGGAAGTTGAAAGCAAAGAGAGATTGCTTGGGAGCATGAAGCCTCCAGCCATAGCAAAGCCCTTGCTCTCTGAGTGAGGGAGGAGGCAGCATTACCTGTGTCTCATAGGTGTCCCCAAACAGGTTGATGGATCTGCCTGCCTGCAGCTCCCTGCGGTGGCCATCCAGCCAAGCCTTCAGGGACACGGGCTCCATGATAGATCGTGTACTCAGAGGAAATGGTGGTTCCTTGAGCAGTTGGTCTGCATCCAAGGTGTGATTATGGTCAGTGTCCTCTGGGCTCAGCCTCCCCAGGCCCAGAGGCACAGATCCAGAGAGCTCAGCTCTCAATTGACCAGGCCCTGGATCCAACTCAATTACTAGTAGCCACGCGAGGGTACCATTCAGTGCCATCTCCCTCAGTACCTTGAGTACTGGGCAGAGTACCCAAAAAGAGACTCCTGGGATCTAGGGCCAAAACCCATCCTATTGTGGAAAGGGAGTGAGGGGGGAAGATGGTTGCCAGTGGCCTCACCAGGGATGGGTTTTCCTGTTCTGCACTGCTCGGAGTGGAAGAACCTGCAGGGACAACAGGGAGGAGAAAGGAATGGCGGGCATTCCTGCTTGAGTAGCCGGGGAGACACACACGCCATACACTGTTGGGTGCAGGAGCCCACACACACTTGTGGGGCCCTCACACACTTTCCCTCCCAGCTCTGTGGAGCAGTCTCTCCAGTGGCTCCCTCCAGCCCCAACCCCCCGCAGGAGGGGAGACTTTCTCCCTAATTCCCAGGCATGGTGGCACCAGGCCAGCAGATACTGATGTGCAGCCCCAGGACAGCGAGGGGCTGAGGGCTCACTCTTGGATGATGGGGGCCAACTGGGTGCCGAGATCCTTGCAGTAGAACCACTTCTCAAACAGGACATCCACGGTGTCCCCCACGTAGTACCTGCCAAAACAGAGGACAGGCAACCTGGCTCCCCATTTGGGCAGCCCCCCGGGCATCCATGCTCAGGCCTGCTTCTGCCTGTGGGCTCTGGGCCTGGCCCTACAGAGCTGGGGGCTGCCTGTTTTCCTGGGTCAGCGCAGCCTGTGGGCAGTGCTTATATACCTACCCCTGACCCTTCAGAAGCATCAGTGTGCCCAACCTAGAAAGCAAATAGAACCCCAAGACACAGGAAAGCTGAGCGACTTACAGTCAGACAGTTGACCTTAAATAAAAGCCAGGGACTTGACATTAAAATGCTACAAAAAAAAAAAAAAAGCCACTCCAAAGGCCTGAAAGGGCACTGAAGTTCCATTATGAAGCTTTTGGTGGCCAGCCCTATCCCAGGAGCTGGGTGGATGCAGCGTGTATCTGTGAACCATCTCCATGAGCAGGACCACCTAAGTCAGGCAGTCTTAAAAGCCTGGAGAGTATCTAATCCAGGTGTGTTTTTCCCAAAAAGGAAGCTGAGGCTGAGCCTGAATCCAGGGCTGGCTAGCTGCAGTGCTCAAGGTCAAGGTCCATAGAAACTTCAGTGTCTAGCATACAGAGATGTCCCCCAAATGAGGATTTCTTGTCTTCTCGGGGTCATGGCTGTCTTTGAGAACCACAGCAAATCTCTGAACCTCTTCTCCAGGGAAGGCGACATGCATGCATACACAGCCTTCAGTGGGTCCCTGCACCACCTCCCCCCACTCCCCTGCCCAGCTCATCTGTGCTAGGGGCTTCTGTCAATTGAATGCCCTAATCCCCAGGCCTAGTTCTTAGGCCAAGCCAGCTCTGCCTGCCCTTCAACTCCCACTGAAAAAAGAGAATCAGTCCTGCTGATGGAGGTGGTCTACAGACACGTGGCATCCACTCACCTGGCACCCTGAAACTCCTCTTGGGATGGAGCTGGGCACTAGAAAGCTTCATAATGGGACTGCAGTGCCCTCCAGGAATTGCCTTCAGAGTGACATTTTAATGTTGAGTCCCTGGCTTTTATTAAAGGTCAAAAGTAGCCAGATGAAATCCGATATTGAATTTGCTGTAAAATGTTATTGAGGACTCTGTCCTCTCCATCACTGAAGACTTCTTCTAAAAAGTCCCTTGGAGAATCTCCTTCTAGAATCTAAGGCCAGGTATCTGTCTGTCCAACATATTATACAGTAGATTATTATGAAGCTATTAATACTGTATTTTTTGAAAAGATTTAATAGAGAAATACTCATGAGTTTTTTTAAGTACAAAAACCAAAATTCAAACCCACTCAGGCAAGAAGACTGCAATGTTGTCAGGTACAGATATGCACAGAAAAAAGGTGGAAATCTAAGTGCTTCTAGATTTAATTGGGGATGACAAACACTCCCCCTTCCCCTTTGCTTTTGTCTGTTTTGTTTTCTTGAGAAATAATTCATATACCATAACATTAATCCTTTTCCTGAGACGTAATTTTATTTTTCATTTTGCATTCCTGCACTTTTCCAGATTTTGAGTGAATGTGTATGACTTAGGTAATTTGAAGGGAAAAAAAAAGGAAGCATTTTTAAAAAGTACCCATTAAAAGAGCCAGGCTAGGTGGCAAACACCTGCAATCTCAGATACGCAGTCTGAGGTCAGCCAGGGCAACTTTGTGAAGCCTTGTCTCAAAATGAAAAATAAAAAGGCTGGGAGTGTATCTCAGCGGTGGAGTGCCCCTGGGTTCAATACCCAGTACCGGAAAAAAAAAAAAAGGCCCATTTTAGCAATTATAGCAGAAGATGTGGGCCAAAATATCCTGACCCTAGTAACTTGATGAGAAAATTAGATTTTCTTAGTGAAAGGGCTGGGGTGTAGCTCAGTGGTAGAGCATGTACTTAGCATGTGTAAGACCTTAGGTTCCGTCTCTAGCACAAAGGGACAAACATTAATTTTAAAAAGTTTAACTTTTGGAAAAATCTTTGGTCCTCTTTGCTTCAGAGGCTTCCTCTTTTCAGAGGATAACAATTGGGCAACTGATTAGACCAAATGTGAATCACAGCTGTATAATCAGAGTACACAGCTGGGCCTGCATTCTTTCCTTGGTGTTGATCTTGGCCCTGCTTTCCCAGGGTCTAGAAGGTTAAGCTCTAGCAAGTTTCCCTTCCCTGTACCCAGTATGAAAGATAACAGTACCTACTCCCTAGAGTCATCTGGGGGACATTCAATGAATAAATACATACAAAGCTCCATCCCAGTGCCTGGCCCACAGCCGGGTGCTACCCAGCTATCTGTGCCTATTGTGGATTGGGGTGGCCCAGACTAGACCCTGGAAGCTGAGGTTGTGAGACGCAGCAGTGCTTGGGCTGCCCTGGGTAGAGGGTCCTCTTGGCTGTCCCCCACCTCCCTTTCTGCAGCGCCCCCCCCCCAGCTGACTCATGTAGGAAAACAGGTTCTGACTCCAGCCAGAGGGTCATCAGTCTGAATGGGCTCCTGGGTATGGGGCAGAGACAACATCCCCCATACCCATCACTGAACACCCTCACCCTCCCAGTTAGCCAGCAAATAAAGAACTCTATTGCATCTGGCAGCCAACCCCTCTACCCTCTTAGTGACCAGGAAGTGCTTTCTTGAGTCAACCTGGGATTCCTTCTGTGCAGTATTGAGCTGCACCCCTCTGCTACTAGCCTGCTGTTTGCCCCAGGCCCCAACAGGGGCATTTACCTGAGCCCATCTAGCTCGGTTTCCAGCCGTCTCCGCTCAATCACCAGCCCCATGGTGTTGGCAAACCTCTGCGGGGAGTGGGGCACCCCAGCAGGCAGGAGGAATATCTGTAGTGGTGGAGACCAGGTGCCCAGCAAGGCTGCCATCCCTCACGGAGACATCAGCTCCTGCAGCTTCCCAGGCATCCCAGCTCACCCGCAGGGCACAGGGGACATTGCCATCCATGCTAGGCCCTGCTCTCTGCCAGGCCTGCCCAGGGAACCAAGCGGGGAATGTCCGGCTGTGCTAGCACTTGGTGGCCCAGAGGAGGGAGTGCCCAGGGACCAGGCAGGGGCAGGAAAGTGTGAGGAGGACAGTGCCTCAGCCAAGGCTAGGGCGAGTGGCCAGGATGGGCTCCTGTTCTGGCGCCCTTTGCCACCCCATCTGCTGGGGTCCAGCCTCACCTCTCCCTGCCGAATGACCACATCCCGGTGCTTTCCCCGCTCCAGGACTCGGAGAACCATGTCTCCTTCCAGCTGATAAAACACCTGTGGAACAGCAAAGAGCCTGGGACGCCCTGCTCCCTCCTCCAGGTCCTTGGTCACTGCCCAGGCCCCGAGTTCTGACTAGAAAACCCGAGAAACTTCCCAAAGACCTTAGGTTTATGAGCAACTCCATCACTTCTGTCTTCCCTGACTCAGGCCATTGGCAGCAGCAGGGGACACACATCTTACATCGCGAACGCGCAAGTGATGATCAAAATAACCCAGGATGCAACAGCAGGTGTCTGGCTGGGGGCAGGAGGCTGGACAAGAGCCTCCTTGGAGACAGCCAGGTAAGAAGAACCACCCTTTCACAGGGGCCAGGGGTTGTGCCAAGCTCTTTCATGTACATTATCAGAAATCTTTACAACTTCCAAGGGCATTGTTAGCCTGTTCTGCAAAGGGGGAAAAAAGAAAGGAAGGAAAAAGAAAACTGAGGCTCAGAGCACAAAGCAACTTGCCCAAGGGCACACAGCTAGATAGTCCCGAAGCTGCCTTTGGGACTGGAGCCTGTGCACGGTGCTGGGCCTGGGCTGGTCCTTCCGGCCAGTGTGATGCTCAGGCATTGGGAGCTGTGGAGGTCAGCAGCCTAGGGCGGGGACTGTGCTCTTTCTGGGAGGCTCCTACCACATTTCCTTATTCTATCCTAAGACCCAATTAACATGCTTACTGAGATGGAAGCGAAGCGTGGAGGAGAAGGAGGAGGAGGAAGAGGAGGAGGAGGAGGAGGAAGAGGAGGAGGAGGAGGAAGAGGAGGAGGAGGAAGAGGAGGAGGAGGAGGAGGATTCGATCCCTCTCTACAGTTTATACATTGCTTGCACAGGTGTTAAAAGCCCCAGCCAAATAGTTGAAGGACTTTTAATAATAATAATAATAATAATTAATAATAATAGTGGTAATTATCATGTAAGGAATTAATGGAGATAAAGGCTGCAGTCACAACATCTACTAAGAGAAACCCAGCTGAACAAATTAAGAAATGAAGAAGCTAGAGAAATGTGGCCCCTAAGCCTGCTGCAGGGTACATGTGGACACAAGGCCACCATGAAGGGCATCATGGCATAGGGCATGAAGAATCTTCACAGTCCACACTGGTATAGAACCTTCCATGCTAAAACTGGACATGTCCTAGGTCACACAGGTCACCTACATCTTTGCCCTGGAAATAGCATCTTAGAAATGTGGCCTCAGTAATCAACGGCCCTTAGTCTGCTAGGCCTCTGTGTGCTCTCAGTCAGTTCAGTTAACCTCTCTGTGCCTCTGTTTCCTCTTCTACAGCATGAGTAGTATCTGCTCAGAAGGCTGCTGTAAAGCCTACACTCAACACAGGGTGAGCACTCAATATACCTCTAATTGTTAACATCAGCAGTTGTCGGAATTGCAAAAACAATGCCAATAATAATAGAAGAAATATAAGCATTTGATGATATATTCAAAATATGGAACACTATGCAACCATTAAAAATAGGCTTTTGAATAACAATAAAAATGGCAAAATGTGCTGGGCATGATGGTGCATGCCTGTAATCCCAGCAACTCTAGAGGATGAGGCAGGAGTATTAGAAGTGAAAGGCCAGCCTCAGTGACTTAGAAAGACCCTGTCCCTCCACCCCCCCCCCCAAAAAAAAAAGTACTGGGTGTGTAGTTCAGTGGTAAAGCACCTTGGGTTCAATCCATAGTACAATTTAAAAAAAGAGGGGAAATGTTAAATTTACAATTTTTTTTACACTGTTGAGGATTGAACCCCCCAGAAAACATATTTATTATGTCTTCTACAATAAACAATATTATGTTCATTATTTAAAATAACCCATAACATGTAATCCCAGAAACTCAGGAGGCTGAGGCAGGAGGATCATAAGTTCAAGGCCAGTCTGGGCAATTTAGAGAGGCCCTCAGCAATTTAGTAAGGCCCTGTCTCCAAATAAAAAAATAAAGGGCTCACCCACAGGGAACAGGGGACATTGCCATCCATGCTAGGCCTCAGTGATTAAAGGCCCTTGGGTTCAATTCCTGATACCAAAAATAAATAAATAAATAATAAACATTTTAAAAGGGGTGCTGGAGATGTAGCTCTGTGGCAGAGCTCCCTTGGGTTTAATCCCCAGTTCTGCAAAATAAATAAATAAATAAAATAAGAACAAATAAATAAAACCACCTATAAACATTACCGAATACAAATGAGACAAAAACTACTTCTCGGGAGCAATTCAGCATGTCCCATCCCCTCCCCAAGCTGAGGGAAAACCCATGTATGCATATGTCTCAGGAAGGGAGGAGGGACCCTGGAGTTCTGAGGAGAGGGCCTAGTCTTCAGGTCCCCAAAACATCTGGAAAGGTGGGAGGAGAGTCTGGGGTGATGTCTGGGTCAGATCCAAACCATTTCCGGGCAGGCTGCAGGGCATTAGCCACCACTGAACAAAACAAGAAGGCAGTGGGGTTCTCCTCAGCCTTGTCCCCTACCCAGGGGCCTGTCCTGTGTTGGGGGCAGGTCTGGCCGGGAGCAGCAAGCCAATCACTGACAGCAGAAAATCTCAAATGGCTGTAGGCAGTCCCAAAGGAATTCTGCTGATTTGTAAGAAAATGATGTTGGGGAGGGAAGGGGCATGGAGTTAGCCGGAAGAGTGAGCCCCGCCGGCTCAGGAGACTTAGACAGAGCCTGGCTTCACGGCCTGGAAAGGCCTTACAAGGTGGCAGGACAGTGAGCAGGCGAGGTGAGGACCCAGCCTGTTAAGCTGGTGAATCCTTTCACCTTTGTCCCACATGCTGCACGGGAAGCCTCAGAGGACATGCGATGCACTTGTCCAAGATCACACAGTTATAAGAGGTTCTTCTTCCTTCTCGCACTTGCCTGCCCTAAGGAAAGGAGTGGGGAAGTGGAGCAGGAGTGCGGGGACGTACTGGGGAGTTTGGGTTTCTGAAGGCAGCCCTGGCCACTTGGAGTACTGCAGAGGTCAGAACTCACCAAGGAGGGAAATCTGGCTCAGTCAGTAAGAGACGTGATTTGAACCCAGGCCTGAATGATTCTTCCAGCTCTAGCTGGGTAAGGACAGGCAGGGATAGAGAGGACACGGATGCTCAGTCCCGAGGCCACCAGCAGCCTGTGGCAGATGCTGTACCTTGCCCTTCTACCAAAGTGTGTGGGGGGGGGCATGTCATCACAAACCCATCTCCAGTCAGACTCCTCCCTGACACCTGAATGTCCCTCCAGAGTAAGGACACATGTGCAGGCCGGCACTGCTCATCTCTCAGCGCCAGCTGGGTCAGGGCATGGCTGACCCAGGTCCTCAGTGGACACCCATGTGATGCTTGGAGAAACCATGAGATGGGTCTGGGGCATGGGTGGCAGAGGATAAAAAGGGAAGGAGGGAGACAGACCAGTAGACACAAGGGGTGGGCGCTGGTATCAGAGCTAACAGGTGAGTGGAAGCTGCTGTCCTTACCCATGAGACTGCTTCAGGCAGGCAGGACACCAGCCTTGCCTCCCCCACCGTGGCCACTCCTGATCTATCCCCTCCTCCTCTCTGTAGGTTTGAATTTTCCTGTTGATTTTTTCCAAAGAGGAAAAGGGTCTCTGGGGAGGTGTGTCTGTGAGAAGGGTGGGCCCAGAGAGGGCAAGGCCCTTGGAAATGTGAGGGATGGGCTGATTCTGCTCCGCCCTTGTGTACACACTAGGTGCTCACCAAATGTTTGCTGACTGAGCAATGCTCCAGGGCTCACTGGAGTCCTGGACTGTAGGAAGACACGAGCAGTGGGGTGGAGGGCCGTGACCAAGCTAGACTTTGCATCTCAGACCCTAGAATCAGGCTTGCCTCCAGATTGCTGGAGGGCTCTATATGGATCCTTTCCCACTGGAGTCTCTGGTGGTTAGGATCCTGTCCGTGTCTCTCTCTCCTTACGAGGGCTTTCCCTCTCTGTTAATTTTACTTTTGTTTATGTACTTTGGGATAGGCAGCAGAGAAACAGTTAAAAAATCAAGGTACAAAGGGTATTTAGTGCAACCCCTGCCCCGGTCACATACCTCCTAACTGATGTGTCTTGCACTTTCTAAGTAAGGAGGGGCCACCCAGTCCCACCCATTCCTCAGCCCCCATCCTTGCCCTTCTTCCTTCAGTCCCCTCCCCATCTCCCCACCACCATCCACCACCCACCCCCAGCCCACTCCCACTTCATATAGCTAGATTTCCCCCCCTCGCTCTAGGAGAGGGAGAACCTGGCTCCAGGGATGGGAAGGGAAAACTAGGTTCCCTCCTGTGCTTGGGTCTCATTTTAGAGGCCAACTGTATATACTCAGGTTTGGGGCAGTGGACCGGGCATCCCACCTGGAGCATGGACAGCTAGTGTGTCAGGGACCGGATGCCCCACAGTGAGAGCCTGTCCTACCCACAGGGCTGGGCTATTTCCTAGGGCTCTTCCTGCTGAGTCCCCCTTGGCTCCACCTCAAGGAGGGGGCTGCCCAAGGTGGCAACTTTGAGGTGGCAGGTTTCCCCTGCGATTTCAGAGTGTCCCTTAACAGTCATGCCTCCCCTCCTCAGTCCACAGCTCTGGCCCTGATCAGGAAGTACCTGCTCCCCCAGGGGCTGATGTTCCTTGCCTGGACTGGGATGGGGCAGTCATAACCTACCTCCTCGCCCTCCTCGATGTGATAGTCCTTCCTGATGTTGGGGCCCCCGACGAACATGATTTTGAGCTGCTCCTGGTGCCTGCAAAGGAGTGGTGGGGGAGGTCATGGACCAGGTCCTGGGAGGGAGGGGGCTGTGGTAGGGGGAAGGGGGCCTGGAACACTTAGGAAAAGGAACAGATCCTTGTTCCCACTCTCATCTCAGCCTGTGTCCATGTGCATCTAAGTGCCTGTGTGTCTGTGATTGAGTGTGTCCCTCTGTGACACACACAGAGGGGCAGCATAGCAGTGGCTCTGTCGCTTCATCACCTAGCCTCCCGGGGCAGTGCTCAGGATCTCCAATCACAAGAGAGCACACTAGAGCCCCATGTCTGACTGTGGGACCCTCCGTTTCCCAATGGCTAGAGGCCTGACTCAGGAGACTGTGACATCTAGCAGGAGCTCAGACAGCACTGAGTCAGAGTGACATGCGTTTAAAAACAGGAGCTGGAGCCAGCCTCTGGGCATCCAATGGCTCTACATGCACTCTTGGGCAATGCTACCTAACCTCTCTGGGCCTCAGATTTGTCATCTGTAAAATGGAGAGCTAGCTCTTGCATCAAGTTTCAATGGATTACACAAATTCATTTTTAGAAGTTCTCAGAACACAGTGCCTGCCATATAATAAGCACTATTTAAGTGTTTGATAAAATAAGCTAGTGTGACCAACTCATTTGATAGCTGACTGTTCAAACTTGCTAAAGCTCAGAGAGGGTCATGCAGCCAGGGAATGACAGAACCTGAGCTCAGACCTGGGCTCCCTGACTCCCAGGCTGGTGCCCTGACCCTGGTGTACACTGTCAGCTGTTTGGAACTTGACAGGATGCCCAAGCTCCTCATCCTATCTACTATTGGTGTGGTGTCACCTTTTATGGGACTCTGTACCTCCTGACAGCAACACACCCATCTTCCATTCTAGGGTTTATTCTGCAGAGATTAAAATAAGCAGTGGGCTGTGCATGGGTAGGGGCCCGGGGTCTTAAGTAGCCAAGCGACAGAGGGCTGGGGCAAGGGCTTTCCCTGGGAATGAGAAGGTGCGGAATCCAGGTGCAGGAACCATTTTTGCTACTTCAGATCTCTGCAGTAGAGGCTGACTGTAGCCACGATGAGGTTTGATGGCAATGGAGGGGTTGGGGGCAGGTGAACCCCCAATACTAGACTGGAAGTCTTTGACTAGTGTCTTCTCCTGCAGATTGTTTTCCAGCCCACGAAGGGGGGGCTCCTTTATGGGAGGCAGGTATTAATAACCAAGAACATATATCCATCATGCCCCAAATGAAAAGATGGATGAGGTTACTGGGCAGGAGGAGGCTGGCACGGGGTAGTTCTGAGCTTAAAGAACTTAAAGCTGCTTGGAGGAGAGGAGAGAAGCGCTGAGGTGCCTAGAGAAGGGAGCAGTCAGCTGAGTACAGAGACCCAAGAAAGGAAGCGCTGGGGGTCTTGGTGGGTGTAGGTGGTCTTGGGGAGTGACTTGAGAAGGCTGGATCAGGAGGGGGTCTAGCTAAGGCAAGGCGTTTGGTGTTGGCTTAAGGATGCCGGGGAGCCTCAGAAAGTATTTTTTTAATCAACTTTATTGAGATATAATTTAGGTACACACTGAAAGTTCTTGAACAAATCCATTCCAGAACTGTTTCAACCCATTGATCAGAATGCAGATTACGTCCCTCCAGCAGCTTCTTGCCTTGCTGAGGGTGTTATAGGTTGAACTTGTCCCCCCTAAATTCATATGTTGAAGTCCTAACCTCCCAGGACCTAAGAATATGACCCTATTTGGAAATAAGGGCATTGCAGATGTTATAAGTTAACATCTGGGTAGGGTGGGTTAGAGTTGTTTGCAAACAGGAAATATGGACGTAGACACATAGGGAAAGTGCCTGTGAAGATGAAGGCAGAGATTGGGGTGATGCAGCACGAGCCAAGGGAGACCAGCAATGCCAGGAAAGCCGCAGAAGCTAGTGGGGAGGTGTGGCATAGACTCAATGCCAGCCCTAGCAAACTAAAACAGGGGGAAGGCACAGTCCTCACTCTGACCTTTGGCTACCGCCATCGGAATGTCAGCTCTACAAGGAAGGCACTTTTGTCAATGTGTTTCCTTCTGTATCCCCAGAGTCTAGGCCAGCCTGGCAGGTAGTAGGTGCTCAGTGAACATCTGATGAGTGAATAAAGAGAGGGAGTGTGTTTGTGATGATGGTTAGCACCAGGGCAGCGCTGGAGGATATTGGGGGAGGCCTTAGAGGCAGGGCAGCCAGTACTGCCCAGGGTGGAGGTGGCCAGGGAGAAATCAGAGCAATGTCTGGGCGGTAGTTGAGCAGATGGGTGTGAGATGCTTTGAGGGAGAAAAACTGGGGGACTGAGAATGAGAGACTGTGAATAGGGAGAAGTGGAGGAAAGGGACAGAGACGATAAAGATGTGGGTTGAGAGGACAATAGTGGCAGAAAAGAGTCGTGTTTGGGGAAATGCTGACTGTTAGCCATGGTGGTATTGCACACTGACCAAGAGAATATGTGCACTTTGGAGTCTGGGCTTGAGTCTGGACTCTGTCCAGCACTAGCTCTATGACATTAGGAAAGTTCTGTTAAATCCCACCTCATGGACTGTGTGAACTAAATGAGATGATGCCAGAATGCTTGGCATGGTCTCTGGCCTGTCACAACATCAGTGATTGTTGCCCTGTGGGTTGAAGTACCGTGCCAGAGGAGTTGTCTTGCAAGAACAGCAAATATGGGGAATGTGAGCCTGGTCTGGGGGTCACAGGAGGCCCAGCAATGGAACTGAAGGAAGGGGAGGGAGGTGATCACAGGGAGGGCCTGAGAGATCTGTGAGAGAAAGATGGCAGTGACCAGTTCAGCCCTGTTGGGTGTTGCAGGCAGAGGTGGCCTTGGGAGGGCCGTGTGTGTGTGTGTGTGTGTGTGTGTGTGTGTGTGTGTACACCTGCAAAGAGGGGCTCTGGAAAGAACAATAAATCAAGATCTCTCCAAAGGGGCTGATCCTCTAACCTCCCCCTTTGCCTGTAGGTTAGCCTGTGTGTGTCACCTGTCCTCAGACCTAGGTTCTATTCTCATTCTGGGGCACTGAAAACCATTCTCCCCAAATTTCAAAGTTTCCCAAAGTCCACTGGAGTCCTTGGGGGAACTTGAGAGAATCCCTGGGGGCTGGAGAGCTCTTTGCCAGCTCTGGAAGGAGGAGCATCTTGTCATCTCATCCCCTACTGCCTCAGAAGCACCCTGGCCATAGGCAGAAGTCAAAGTCACAGCCCTTACTATGCAGTTACCAGAAAGAGGAACAGATAGAGGTGGTGGAACCCGGAACAGCAGGTCCTCACCCTCCCAGAAGGAGCCAAGAGAATGACAGCCTCTTTCTGCAGGCTTCTGGGTCAAGGAACTGGACCTGGAAGGCGGTACCGGTCGGGGGTGGGCTGGTTAGATGGAGGAGATGGCGAGGACAGAGGGGGCGGATACAGGAGCTCAGACTCACATGAGCTTGTTGCAGACTGGGGGTTGGAAGGAGGCCCTGTTGTCCTCCACCCAAGTCTTCACTCTTACGCGGCGCTCCATGGCCACCGGGTCTGATCGCCTCCTCCCCGAGTGTCCTCTGGCCGGTGGGGCCGTCGGAGGGACGCGGCTCTCCCGGGCTCGTGGGTTGGCCGCCTAGTTAGTCAACATCCCGGAGGTCAAAGGGCGGAGCAACCCCCTACCTCCCCCCCCCCCCGCTGTGGCGGGCGGACTTGGGTGTGAGCCCGCCTGCCCTGCGCACCGCCCCCTGCGCTTGCCCTTAGGTCTCGGTGCACGCGGTGGGGGAAGAAAGGGCGACCCTGCTTCTAGGCAGAACAGGGATCAGTCCCCGGATCCGAACCTCCCGACCAACCCAGCGTCCTGGGGGCGCCTGGCACACCCGCGCCAGAAATGGGAGTCTGCTGCCCTCCTAAGACGCAGGATCCAGACTCTTCCTGGCATTTGTCCCTAGATTTCCGTCTGATTCCTAGGAAGGCTCCAAAGATACTGTAGGGGGAGAGTTCGAAAATCCGAGAGTCAGCACGTGGTGTTGATACTGGATTTAAGACTCAGTTTTCTTGGGGCTGGGGATGTGGCTCAAGCGGTAGCGCGCTCGCCTGTCATGCGTGCGGCCCGGGTTCGATCCTCAGCACCACATACAAACAAAGATGTTGTGTCCACCGAGAACTAAAAAAATAAATAAATAAAAAAAAAAAAAAAAAAAAGACTCAGTTTTCTTATCTGGAAAATGGCAATGACTGCACAGCCACTGGAGCTGAGGTGCGCATAGAACGAAAAGATGCCCCGATTAACGCCAGTACCCTATGTCCTCACGAGGACAGAGCTTGGCCGCGGTCCCCAGATGTTCTATTGCATAGTAAAAGGCTGGCTCGACTGTGCCCTAGGCTCTGCGAGGCAAACCGAGGCAGACGCAAAGCGTCAGGAGCCCGGGTGGAGAGCAAGCGCCGCGAGGCTGTGGTCCTCTCCCTGCATCGCAGGTGGAGGCAGACCCGAGGGGGGACACTGTCCTCAGCGCCAGCGTCGTAGTGGGCACGGGCCAGTTGCCCTCCATCGTTTTGAGCTCTTTGCATATCTTAAGTCACAGGGTCCTGGGTGTCCTAGCCTTTCGGTACGGAGGTAGGGTGGGCAGCCAAGTCTGTGCTAACGATGACAGCGCCTGCCAGAGCCTCTGTCACGGTGGTCCTGGGACGGAAGACCTAGGCCTGGGTGTCGGGGTATGGAGTAGAGGACGGTGGCGAGGGGGTACGGAGGAGGGGGAAGGCAAATGCTACTACCTGCCTTCCTCTGTTTTCAGGACTCAGAATGCTCAGGAAAATCGGAGGAGGGTGGAGCGGGGGAAGTGATAGGTGGGGGACATGGAAAATGGCTCAGGCCTCTGACACCAAGAATGCAGATTGCAGAGTTGAAGTAATTTTAACTCCTCCAGCTCCAGCTCTCACACCCACCTTGGCCACTCCCTCTGCCTTCCCCAGGTGCCTGGCGGTGGCCAGTTTTTCTCAGCATTTCAGATGTAAAGTCAAATCCCAGATCGTTGTGAAGCAGGATTCCCACTCACCTGGCTGTGACTCTCCAATTCCCTCTCCACTGCCTCTCCTCTTTTCCCCCTCCTTCTCCTTTTTATTTATTTAGCACATTTTAGCTGAGCATTTCTTTCTAGACTATAGTGTGGTACTCAAATAACTCAAACCACCTTCTTTATTTTTCTCATCTACAGGTAATCAGAGACAATGCAAACAATGACAAAAGAAACGCCAAGGATCTATGATGTGTTGGGTTTGCTCTGGGTGTGTGTTTGTTAAATGGAAGGATGAGTGGGTGGGTAGATGAAGGCCTGAATGAATTTACATTAGGAGAAAAAAAAAACCTGCTTTCAGTTCAATGATGTACTGTTACATAGTACAAAGGAAAGAAAAAAGAATGATAGTTACCCTGTATTTTAGTTGATGTAGTCAAATAATGTGAATAATTGAGGCCCTAAGTAGAATTTTTAGGATATGAATTAGCTACATAAATCTTATTCACAGGCTAACCTCCTGCTGCATAATCACTGTCAGTTGTGCCCTCTGGTTTGTGGTGTATAGATAAACACCATGTTTAGTGTACTGAATTGGCAAACCTCTAAACTTGGGTGTTGGTCTCCTTTTGACTTCAGTGTCAGAAAACGGACAGCTCTTCTTTAATCCAGATGTTCTAGTATTGTTCAGTTTGGAGTTCTTCTGGATATCTACCCTTGTGGACCTTACCTTCTCCCAGGAGCCAGCTTTCTCCTCTGCACAAAGAAGCTCACTTGTACCTGAGATCAGAAACAAAGAGCATCTACCCTAGAGCTCATCAGAGCTATCCTGCTTACTCTGCTCTTGCTCTGTGTCCCCTCAATGGAGTGCCTGAGAGGTGGCTGAGACCATGTTCAGCAAAGATGTTTCTAGGCTTTACTGAACATGGCTGGTGATAACTGTCTGATCCTTCAATCCTTTTATATGCTGAACTACTTGCTCCAGCTGATCCATTTCCCAGACTACCTTGGTCTGTCTCTGTCTCCACCTTCCCTCCCTTTCATATGAGTCAGCAATGTTAAAGTACAAACAACTTTATATGAATAAAAGGACAAGATCATGAACCATATGGGTGAACAAACCAAACTCAGTTTCTTCTACTCTACTCTCACAATGCAGATCACTTTTGTGATCCCAAAATGTGTAGGGATTTTTTTCCCACCAGCATGTAAACAATCTGTCGTGCAGTGGACACCTGATTCAGTCTGATCCCATCTACTGGGAGATGATGTCTGATTTCACAGGATGAGGTTTCAGTACCACAAGACTACCTCCACTTCAGACACAAGTCTGTCTCTTTTGTGATACTGGGGACTGAACCCAGGACCTCACACATGTTAGGTAAGTGGTCTGCACTCAGCAACACCCCCTACCCTCTTTATTTTTTAATTTTAATTGATTAATTAATGAACTTGGTACTGGGGATTGAACCCAATCCAGGGTGCTTTTCCACTGAGCTACATCTCCATCCCTTTTTAATATTTTATTTTGAGACAGGGTGTTGTTAAGTTGCTGCGGCTGGCCTGGAACTTGTGATCCTTCTGCCTAAGCCACCCATGTAGCTGGGATTACAGCCATGCACCACTGGGCCTGGCCATAAAGGCTAATTTAAAGGATACAACAAGCAGTCAGATGAAGAGATACACAGGGCAAGGTCTGGAAGGGTCCTGAGGGCAGAAGCTTCTGTCCCCATGGAGTGGAGTGCACCACTCTCCTGGCTCATCAGTGAGTTCTTGCTCATCTTCCTGAAAGTTCCCAAGTGTTCTGTTTTTCAGAAGTTCTGTGAACCCTGTCCTTTGGGTTTTGTGGAAAGCTCAAGGCATAGGCATAACTGAAGCATGCAAAGCCATATAAAAATAATGTCAGACAAAAACAGTTTGATCTAATGTCTTAGAAAGAACACGCCAGAAAGTCTGTTTGTTCAGATTCTTCTTGGCCTTTCTGTGCAGCATCCCTTCCTGGTATCTGGAGCAGGAGTCCTTCTGGATATTTTATATATATTCAGAAGTGATATGTGTGTGTGTGTGTGTGTATATATATATATATATATATATATATATATATACACACACACACACACACATATACAATATCATGTCATATCAGAACTGGTTATTTGAAAATCTAGGTTCTGGTTTTGATGTCTCTTTACCTTGAGTTAGTAACAAATCTGTCTGAAAACTTCTAGACATAATTTTTTGGGAGGGGGTTTGACTATCATTGTGAAGACATTCTCTGCTTAGAATATAATACTAAATATTTCCATTAGATCAAGCTACTGTGTTAAAAAAAAAACAAGGATCAAGGCTATTTGAGTAACTGCTTAATATTTTTATTTCTGAATGTTGTGTTAAAGTGCCCCACTATAATCCCTAGTCAATTTCTCCTTATACATTAACAGGCTTTGCTTGATATGTTTTGAATCTATGTTGTTAAATGAAAAAGGGCTCTTGACTAGTTTATCTTCTGGTTATAGCCTGCCTGCCTTTTTTCCTTCCTTCCTTCCTTTGTAGAACTGGGCGCTAGGAAATTAAATTCTCTTTCTGTGACAGCCTTGTCTTTGAGTCCTAGGTCAATAGAAAATTACAGCAAGATAAAGCAGCACCTGCAAAAATGAAAGTAGGACACCGAGACCCCAGAAAGTAGAGAGCTCAAAAACCACATCCTGGCTGAGCTGTGGCAAGCGTTCTGCTGAAAGCATCCCTAGAGTCTGCAGAACATCCTGCTCCTCACAGCACCCACTGACCCCTCCCGATCCTTATAAACCCATAAAACCCCTTTTCCCTGAGAACTCAGGACTCACACATCTCTTGGAGTCTGGCCTCTCTCCTCTCTTGGAGAGTGAATAAAATATTTTACTGCTAATTGCTCTCTGCCTGCAAATCTCTGAACCGTGCAAGCACCATCTCTACTCCAGGCACCATAACACTGGGGATTGTAGGGCTTCACATATTAGGCAAGGACTAAGCCACATCCCCAGCCCTTTTTATTTTATTTTGAACACAGTCTCACTAAGTTGCCTAGGCCTAGAACTTTCAGTCCCTAGCCTCCAGAGTAGCTGGGATTACAGATGTGCACCACCACCCCAGCTTTGTAATGTTTCTTTTATTACTAAGAAATATTTCCTCTTAGTTTCTTTTCACCTTGACCTCAACTTTGGAAGATATTTATATTGCTACGCCTGTTTTCTGTGTTAGTATTTTCCATTTCCCCTTCTGCTGAATCGTGGCTGCCTTGGTGACATGCGGTAGAGCTGATACTTGTCACAGCTGAGGCTGGTCCTCAGAGGTCTTACAACTCAGAGCTCATCACCTGGTGTGCTGCTGCCCCCATGTGCAGAAGCCAGTGCTAGCCTCTGGGAGGACTTGGAGAGAAGGCGGCTGAGAGCAAGTGCCAACTGTGTAAGGCCATCTTAGATAACTGCAGCCATGAGCGAACTCAGCGGAACCTGGCGGGCCTGCCCAGCGGAATGCAGGTAAATTACTGACCTGCAGATCATGAGCAGATGAAATCGTTGTTATTGTAAGTCTTTAAATTGGGGGTTGGTGGTTTAGCACCGTAATAGTTAACTGAAACAACAGGTATCTGTTTCCCTGTAACCTTTTTGTTTTTAGGTATACTTCTCATGAATGGCACATTGCTGGAGTGTTTAAAAAATCCAGTCTGATAAGGATGTGTTATTTAGGAGTTGGATTCAATCTTTTCATATTTAATTATCAAAATGCTTGTACCATTAAAAGAGAAAATTCCTGAGCTAGTAAGAGTGGTGCACACCTGTAATCCCAGCTACTTGGGAGGTTAAGACAGGAGGATCTGAAGTTTGTTGCTAGCTTGTGCAATTTAGCAAGACCCTGTCTCAAAATAAATTAAAAATGGCTGGGGATGTAGCTCAGTGATAAAGTGCCCCTGGGTTCAATCCCCCATAAAGTGGGTGGGACAATTCCTTAGGCCATTTATGTCAAATAGAGTTTATCTGAGCAAAAACAAAATTAAATGACTCATGAATTAAGCAGCTCCAAGAACCAGAGTGGATTCTCAGAAGTCCAACAATGGCATCTGAGGGTCATTACAGAACAATGGAAGTGGTGCATAGAAAATAGTTGGCTATAGCTTAGTCAATCAGTAAGTCAATTGGTTAGCATTTAACCATCCAAAGCTCAGGTTCCACCATTAAACTCCACATTGACTTGGTCTGTTGGGCCCAGTGCAGGTATCCAGCCCAAATCCACAGCCTCCCACAAATTTTAGTTAATGGTGTTCATTCCGATATCTTGCGTTTTCTAGTTACCATGCTGTGTTCATTTTGGATCATTACTATAGTAAATTACCACAAATTTAATGGTTTAAAATAATACCAACTATTGTCTTACTGCTCCGGAAATCAGTAGTCTGAGTGGGTCTTGCAGGCTAAAATTTAGGTATGTTAGAGCTGCATTATTTCTGGAGGCTCTGGGGGGAAAAATAATCTGTTCCCTTGTCTTTTCTACCTTCTGGAAGTCACCTGCATTCCTTAGCTTGGGCCCTTCCTCTGCTTGCCTGCCCTTCTGCCTCCCTCTTTTCCTCATAGAATCCTGGAGGTTTCACTGAACCCACCCAGATAACTCAGACAACTTCTCCAGCTCCTTATTTTAATCACATTTGCAAAATTCCTCTTTGACACATGAGGGGACCTATTCACGGATTCTAGAGATTAGGAGATGGAGTTTTGGGTGGTTTTCCACCCACCCCTTCTTGTTTCTTCTTCTTTTCTCTCTTTCTTAATCTATCAAGATGCTCATAGCTGCAAGTAGCAGAGACGCCAGTAAAACAGCGGCTTAACTGACAGCGCACTGGAAGTCTCACATCCCTGGGCACCCAGAGGAAGAACAGGCTGGGGCTTAGCAGTAGCATCACACACCCTGGTACTTTCCAACCCTGCTGGCTGCTCTCTGCAGTATCAGCTTCATCCCAAGGTGGATACCGCCAGTGATGGCCGTCCAAGTTGGAAACTTCCTATTCACACCCTCTGCAGGAGAGCAAGTCGGTTACCCACAGCTTATCCACATTTTGGGCTGGGTAATTCTTTGTTGTGGGGGTTGAATTGTGCATTGACCAGTGTTTAGCAGCCTCTCTGACCTCCTCCTACTAGATGCCAGCAGCTGCCTTAGGGTTGAGACAACCCAAAATGCCTCCAAGCTTTGCCAAATGTCCCTGGGGGTCAAAACTGCCACCAGATGAAAATCAGACATATTTACTGGCCTTAATAGGCTCAAAAGCCCATACTTGAAATAATTTTTTGGGAAAGGGGATGGGATACTGCTTGGCTTAATCAAATTTGGGTTTAGACTTGAAGCTGAAGGTGGAATCAGCCTCCTGCAAAATCCCTGGCTGTAACTGGGCTTGGGGGTCAGCTACAGGTCCACCATACCTGGCTTTTCCCTCCTTTTAACTCCATATTCTATCTTATGTGTCTATTAGTTATTCTTTAAATAAATGCATGTATTTAAGTTTGTGAATTTCTAATAAGATATGTCGTTAATCAGAATCCATCTGAACAAGGCAAGAACCAAGGAGTCTGAGACAGCTTTAACTTCCATCTAGAATTTCCTACTGGCAACTTCTATGCCATACTATTTGGATTAATGTTGACTTTTTTTGGGGGGTGGGGGTGGGGGTGTTGTACCAGGGATTGAACTCAGGGGCACTTGGCCACTGAGCCACATCCCCAGCCTTCTTTTGTATTTTATTTAGAGGGTCTCACTGAGTTGTGTAGTGCCTTACTTTTATTGAGGCTGGCTTTGAACTCTCAATCCTCCTGTATCAGCCTCCCAAGGCGCTTGGATTACAGGCATGTGCCTCCATGCCCTGCTAATATTGACAATTTTTTGAGTGTGTGATGCTGGGGATTGAACCCAGGGCTTTGTGCATGCTAGGCCAGCACTCTACCAACTGAGCTATATTCCCAACCCTTAATGTTATTGCTTAATGTAATGAGCAATAATTAGATGTTTAGTATGTTTTACTGTCGCTTCTCACTGCTAACTTATTATCACTTCTCATATCCCATTATCTTTTCCTGGATATTGTGTGTGTGTGTCTTTGGAGCTGAGAAATTCTTTACTAGTTTTTCAAAGAAACATCATTTCTTATCTATTCTCTAGTAGTAACTTCTGGGATTCTTTTAATGAACGTTGGGAATTCACTCTTCTTTCCTCCCCTTTCCCTTGTCCTACATTCTGGGAATATCCTTCAGCCTAATCTCCTGGTTTACTGTTTTTCATTTACTTGATGTATTCTCCTATTCATCTCATCTACTGAGTTTTGAATTTCCATGGGTTCTTATAGTTGGTTCCATTCCATACTAACTTTATATTTCATGGATGTGATATATTCCCTATATCTCTAAGGAAATGATTTATTTAAAGATGTGAACTTTATATTCATGAAGTTAACATTAGCTACTAAAAACCAATAAACTGCTCCAAAGGCAGTGGACCAACATGATAAAAAGGCTTCTCGTTCCTGAAAAGACCAATGGAAAGGTAGTGTGCTTTGCACAGCCATGTAGGGACCTGATTGACAGAAAGTGACAGATGATCCTCTCTCTTTAACCATGTCACTTCTAGTATTGTCTGGATATCGGCATCCAGCAGATGGAAGCGGGGGTGGGGGCCCTTTACAGACCTACCTGGCTGGAGGGGTATGTACCATGTTTTATATATTCTACTGGCTGGAACCCACTCAGGTGGTCTTACCTAACTCTTTGCCTATGGAGAAAGTCCTGGCTGGCTATTTCTGAGGAGAAAGCAAAGCAGGATTCCTAAACAGCTTGCTAGCTTTTGTCATAAAGTCTGTGATTTCTCCCAAGTATAATCTTCCATCTTTGGAAGATTTCCTTTTGATGGCCTTTTAAAAAAAACATTTATTTTTTAGTTTTAGGTGGGCACAATATCTTTATTTTATATTTATGTGGTGCTGAGGATGGAACCCAGTGCCTCATGCATGCTAGGTGAGCACCACTGAGCCACAACCCCAGCCTGATGATGGGCTTGGTTTTTTCCCATGGTTTAGTGATCCTTGTGCAAAGTCATCTTTATGGTTGGCCTTCCTTGTTTGCAGAGCATGCTTGAGGGAAGAGGAAAGAATTATGTTCCCTGCTATTTTCAGAGGCAATGGGGGATAGGCAAGACCTGCTACCAGGTAGGCATCTTAGCAGTTGGGTTCTTGGGCTTAGGTTCTCTAGTTTCTCCTGGGTGGTCTCAGTCACCTCAGGTACTGCCCTGTGCCTCCCACATTCTTTGCTACGAGAACTGACAACCCCATCACTCTTGCTCAGGGTCATAATGGGGTGTCCATGGGGGACCATGTACTGCCTGCTGCTGCGTCAGCGCTCCAAGTAATTTCCCTAGCAGTCAACCCTAGATCCCTCCTACATCTCCACACACCCATTGGGTAGGAAGCACCCTTTGGCTGCTCCCACTGCCCTTAGCAGGACCCTGTTCTTGGCTCTCCTGTGCATCCCAGTCCACAATCTTTTTTTCAATCTAATCGTGCATTCTTTTCGGCATCCCTTGCGGGTTCCGTTCCTCAGATGCCTTGTAGTTCAAGGTCCAGTGAAATTCCCTCTTCTTGTGTTCTTGTATATTTATGTATTTACTTAGTTCATATTTCCATATTTCATTTATTGGGTTTAGTATTCAATATTTTGAAAAACTGCCAGTCTGAGCCAGGTGTAGTGGTGCATGCCTGTAATTCCAGCCGCTTGAGAGGCTGAGACAGGAGGACTGTGGGTTCAAAGCCAACCTCAGCAATGGCGAGGTGCTAAGCAACTCAGTGAGACCCTGCCTCTAAATAAAATACATAATAGGGCTGGGGATGTGGCTCAGTGGTCGAGTGCCCCTGAATTCAATCCCTAGTACCAAAACCAAGAAAACCCAAAACTGCCAGTCTGCTTCCCAAAGTAGTGGCACCATTTTCCATTCCTTCCAGCCACGAGAGGCTTCTGATAGCCCCACATCCTGGCAGCATTTGCTGTTGACTGTCCTTTAGACCCCAGGATCTCACACTCTCAATTCCATACTCACTTCTCAGAACTCCACGGAAACTGTTGATATTTGGACCTGCTGCTCACCCTACAGTCCTCAGATAGCCCCCTCTTCAAGGAACCACAGAGGAACAATTTTGCCTGGGTTCAGTGTGTGATGTGAAGTCCGAGGGTTCACCAGTACAACAGCGATAACATCCTCTCTGGCTTCCACATTCAATCCCCATGAACTGAAACTGTAGTTCAGAATATTAACTAGTGCCCCCAAGGTTACCTGGCTGGTAAATAGAGGCACCAGGATGTAAATGAATCCATACCCAACTGCACGTGTGTTTTTTCCATTGCTTGACTTTGGTGAATATTGATGTGTTGAGGGTCTAAAGTTAGTGTGTCAAAGTGGTGTATAGTTAAAATCAAATTAGAGAGGGGCATGGTGGCACACGCCTGAGCTCCCAACTACTCAGGAGGTTGAGACAGGCAGATTGAAAGTTGGAGACCAACTTCAGCAACCTAGTGAGACCCTGTCTCAAAATAAAATTTAAAAAGGGCTGAGGATGTAACTTAGTGATAGAATGCCCCTGGGCTCAATCCCCAGTATCACCAAAAACAAAAGAAGCAAACAATAAAAAAAAAATCGAATTAGAAAACTCTTAACCAACTATTATGCAGAACATGCAGCAATTCTTAGATACTAAGTTTGGGAGCCACTGTGCCAGACTCAGCAAAGGAAATATCAATAGAAAAGTCCATGTGATGAATGCTTGGCCATTTGGCCCATTGGCTTTTAAGATACTGCTCTCATTTCTGGGTGAGTGGAGGAGGGGTGGTGTATCCCTGAAGGTTCCTGTTTGCCTGCGGGGTCACTGTGTTGTGTATGTTAAGCCCTTGTGCCAGTTACTGTTTTTTCAGCTCTAAGCTCACTTGCTAGGCTCTGTATTGTGAGTCTGGAAATAGGAATCTGCACACTATCTGTGCTTTGCCAGTTGCCTCTGTGTTAGGCTCTGCCCAAAGGAGGGGAGAAATGGATGCTGCTACTCAGGAGGCTGGGGCAGGAGGAGCACAAATTCAAGGCCTGTCTCAAAATAAAATTAAAAGGGCTGGGGATATAGCTCAGTGGCAGAGTGTATGCTTAGCTTGTGCAAGGCCCTGGGTTCAACCCCCAGCAATGCACAACAAAAGTAGAAAAAATACAGAACAACAACAAAACCGCAAGCCGAGAGAGAGAGAGAGAGAGAGAGAGAGAGAGAGAGAGAGAGAGAATATAAAGGTGGAAGAAGGGAGTGGTCCTTCCCCATTTTCTTCCTGTCTGTCATCTCTGCTGGCTCCATAAAAAGATTTGCTCATGACTGGAATTTGTGGTTCAGAGAGGGTCAGGTTCTAAGGTGGAGGCATCAGATAATAAAACTGCCTGGCCCTCCAAAACACTGCCTCATTAGTGTGATCAAAATTGGCTGCTGGCTGAGGGTGCAGCCTGCTACCCAGCTAAGACCCTGCTGGGCAGGGCAGGGCAGGACAGCCAAGAAGAGGCTCTTCCTGGACAGGTCAATGTTAGCTCTTAAAGACTCTTTGCAAATAGAACAGCAGGTTTATATCTCCCTCTTGCTTCACAGGCAGAAGTCCCTTTGGGAGACATTCACAGGCCAGCTCTGCCCTGAGCTTCAGCTTAGTTTATGTATCTGCTACATTTCCATTATTCTCTTGCTCCAGGGCCAAGGGGCTGTCCCTCCCTCTTTCCTCCCATGGAGACATTCTACATCTGGTTGGTCCTCTTCCTCTCTTTGCCAGAGGTTATTGACTGCTACAAATTTGTCTGTGTTAGCCACTGCCCTCCCCAGTGTCCTGTGGCCTTTCCCTCATTCTTCCTGGCACGGATCCACATTATGAGTATTGTGAGTCTGGAAATGGGAGTGGGTGAGAGTGGACATGTGCTGGTTCTTACCAGTCCAGGAAGTGATCCAGGGGCACATTTTTTTGTAGCCCAAGTATTATGGAGAAATTCATATCTGTTACCTACAAATAAGAAAACAGAGGAAAATCATGACTTCATTCTATCACTTCTGCAACTTAATAAAAAAGACCAAAGCTCAAAAGCCAGAAACAAACCAAACCCCAAACAAACTCTAAGTAAACAACCATTTTATAAAGCTATGCAAATGACCAATAAGCTCATCAAAAAATGCTCAACATCATTAGTTGACAATGAGATATATTACATACCCATGGAAAGGCTTAAAAAGAAAAAAAAAATGACACTGAGTGTTGACAAGGATGTAGAGCTACAGAACTCTCCACAAGAGGGTAAAGGTAATTCAAAAATAGGAGAAAATGTTTGCAAATTATATATGTGATAAGGGGTTGATATTCAGAATATGAAAGAACTTTTAAAACTAGGCTACAAATGTCCCATAGAAAATAATGGAGCTCATCCAACCAGTTGTTGGCTGAAGAGTCATGAACATAAGTTTTTAGTGCAGTTGCTTGTCTTTCTTTGGCCCCACAAATTGGTCTGTCCCACTAACCTCCAAATTTTGATCAAGAGATCATTCTGAGTGTGACTGAGTTCTATGGCTGCTTCTGTTAAGACTCTTTCCTCCTCCTTCCAAAGGGAAGTCCCCATGATTATCAGTGCTATAGACTCCAAGATCTGCCTTCTGTATCTGGCCCATTAGGTTTAGGTCCAAACATTGTTAGGCAGGAGGATCCCACTCTACCACTGAGCTCCAGCCCCAGCCCTTTTATTTTATTTTGAGACAGGGTCCCACTAAGTTGCACAGGTTGAACTCAAACGTGGGATCCTCCTGCCTCACCCTCCCAAACTGCTGGGATTACAGGTGTGGGCTTGCTGCACTCAACTAATCAAATCTTTTGCTCATTTAAAAAATTGGATTGTTGGGGCTGGGGATGTGGCTCAAGCGGTAGCATGCTCGCCTGGCATGCGCGGGGCGCCGGGTTAGATCCTCAGCACCACATAAAATAAAATAAAGATGTTGTGTCCACCGAAAACTAAAACTAAAAAATAAATATTGAAATATTCTCTTTCTATCTTTAAAAAAAATTGGATTGTTGGTAGTTTTTTGTTTTGTTTTTGTTATTGTTAGGACTCCTCACATTAGAGAATCTAGTCATTGGGAAGCCCCAGTATGCCTGGGCCCTAGTCTTCATCTCTCCTGTCTTCACCTCTAGCTGGTCTTTCCTATATTTCAAGGTAGGACCTTTTGGCCACCATCCCAAAGGGCTTCTCTGAGCCCTGGCTAGTGTCTCTTGAAGGTAACCCCTAAGGGGCACTTTCCTAATGGCAGGTATTCCAGGGTCTCCTCAGGTGGCAAAATGATCAGTCTGTTCTATGTAGTGTTAAGGCAGGACTCCTCAATCATACAGCTTTACAATGTACTCTTATAAATCATATAATGTCGCTACGCCTCAATTTCCTCATCTGTGAAAGGACTGATCATGCTGCTTACTTCATAGTTGTTGTGGTGAGGGCTGTCATGTAGATTAAATGATTTAATAAGGTGTAAAGTTCCTGGAGATGTCCCTGACACATGAGAAGCACAGTACAAGTGTGTGTTTTTTTTTTTACCCCCCCCCCCACTCCTGTGTTCTCCATATTCTTTGAAGTATTTTGTTCTCGAATGACAAGTGAAAAGAGTTTGTGCATGTTATATCAGCCAGGATCCAATCCTGAGACAGGACACTGGGCCAGTTATGTGAACAGGGAAAATCTAATGTAAAGATTAATAACTTGTTAAGAATGGGGGTTAAGAATACAGGATTAGAACTGGGTATGGTGAAGCACACCTGTAATTTCAGTGACTTGGGAGGTTGAGGGCAGGAGGATGGCAAATTGAAGCCAGCCTGGGCAATTTGGTGAGACCATCTCAAAGTTAAAAAAAAAAGAAAGAAAGAAAAGAAAGAAAAAGAGAAGAAAAGAAAAGAAAAATGTTCAGTGGTAGAGTGCCCTTGGGTTCAATACCCAAACCCAAACCCAAACCCAAACAAACAGAAGCAAAAAAAAAAAAAAAAAAAAAAAAAAGTCCCAGGAATAACAGATAAAGGAGCAGCCACTAGCTCTAGGGCTGACACTTCCCACCGCTCCCCACCTAGGCTGAGAGCCAGAATTCTGGGGTGAGGGTGTGGCAGTGGCTCAGTGGGTGGCAGAGAAGTTGGCTGAGGCGCTGTAGGCAGGGCTGGCAAGCAGGAAACTGTCTGCTGGGTTCTGGGAAGCCGCCCACAGGCAGCTGTGCTATAAGAGCCAGAAGAAAAGTACTGGACCCAGGAAGAGAAGCCCCTTCAGTGTTTCTCCAGCACTTTTACTGGCAAAGCCTAATGATGGCACAGCTGCCAGAGGACCTTTGATTTTAGGGCCCAGTTACAGGATGACAGAGCATGTGAAAGAAGGGCACATTTGGAGCAAAGAAGCGCTAAGTTGATTGAGTCCCCTTCCATCTGTGTTCTCATAATTTAAAACATTTAAAAGGGAATTTTCCCAAATCCTGTCTTATGTATTTATAGTACTGCAAAAGGGAGCTATGGGAGGGTGACCATATGCTCCAGATTGTGTGGGACAGTCACAATTCATACTTGTTGGTCAAATATTATTAATAGTGCCCCTTTTCATTCTCAGCAATGTCCCCTTTTGGAGGAGGCAACGTGATTACATTAGCTACGGATGTAGCAGCTTTTATCAAATCCTCCCACTGAAAGTAGTTAGAAAATCTGTAACTACTAATAATGACAACAGAACCCCCCGCCCCGGCCCCCACGACCTGTCCCCCAAACAAACAACAACAACAAAAATCAAAAAATGTTTAGAGGCAATAGTGAGCTTCCAAGCTCATCCAGGAGTTAAGGGACTGGGATTCCAAGGAGAAAAGAAGGTCCTTGTGGTGAGCTTGGTACCCTGAGTCACTTTCCTCTTGGAAGTGTTTGCTGGGTTTTAAGTGGGAGAAACCAAGAGACTGAAAAGCTCAGCAGAAAGCAGTAGCCCACAATAGTAATATATGATAAAAAATGTACATCTGAGTCCATCTAAAAGAGCTATTTTTATAAGTATAAAAATAAAAATTCTATGTGACACGAAAGTACTGTGTTAGCTAAAATGGTAGCATTTCCTCCCTTAATGATACATACAATAATGGTATATTTTACAATGCAGGGCATCTTAGATTAGAGAAATATTTGTTCACAAGTGTGGATGTTTCTATGAAGGAGAATCCTATGGAATCTGCTGGATCAAAGGATATGTGCATTTCAAACTTTGATAGATTCTGCTAAACTGTCTTAAAAACCAAACCAAACTAAAGAGTCTCCATTTCCCCACACTCTTGTCAACACTGTATGTTAAAAGTCTTCTAAATTTTTCCCCATCTGACCTGCTCTCACCCTTTCTTCCTTTTGGCTTGGATCCAGAGTGAAGGGATCTGAGCTTCCTCAATTTACCACCATGCTACACTCTGTGTACTCTGCTTGAACTTTGGAGAACTTGGGCCTTGGGACCCACTCATCTGTCTCCTCCTATAAATAAATAAAGGGTGATTTCCCCACACAGTGCTCGTGAGACTCAAGGACTATCTGGACAGGAAGGACTTCAGGCATGGCCAAGTGCAGGGGTTCTGAAGAGGATTCAAGAGGGTCCACCCCATGAAAGATGGCAGTGGCATCTTTTAGATTTCTATTTAGAAAAGTAATTTAAACTAATTGGGCTGGGGATATATGCCTTGCATGCACAAAGCCCTGGGTTCAATCCCCAGCACCACCAAACAACAACAACAAAAAATAATTATTAAGACTCCCCGCAACACTTCAAATTGAATCAATCACTTTGGGAGCCTCTGGATGCATGTTGATCAGTACACACAGCACTCCCTGAATGCCAGATGTCTGTCCATGTGGCAACTGCCCAGGTGGTTCCTCCTGTGGGTTTCAACTTCTCTAAAGCAATGTTTTTGTAGTCGTGACTAAAACAAATTTTAAAAAATATATTTTACTGAAATAAAGCCAATGATGACCATAAAATATTCTGTAAACTTGAATCAAGATGATTTTCATTCATTAGATCCACAAATTTGATTCCACTAATCAGACTGTTTATATACCTCATCAGGATATCTCTTGCATATCAGAAATTAGAGCCTTAAAGAAAAAAATACAATGACTGTTATATCCAGTTTGGTCTTCCATTATTAAGAAGAAAGATCAGCCATACTCACTTTGTTACTTGCAGAATGGTACTTGCATACAGCAATCTTTCTGTTTCATCATGTAGACATGAAAACATGAAAGTAATAAAAATATACCACTTTTTTTTAAAGTGCAAAAGGCATAAATTTCAAACACTCACTTAGGAAAGCAGTTTTTGTCTATTTCTGATGTTATAATGAGTCATTAAGTTTCATACATTTTAATATATAGTACATTTGTTCCAATACCAAATATGACAAGTATTTTAAAAGTTTTTTTGTTAACAAACATGCCTTCTTCTTATATAATTAAATTAAACATTTTGCATTACTTGGTAAATGGGACAGTGTTGATACTAGTCTTTTTATTCTATAGGCATTACTGTTTTAAAATTACACATGGATCTAAACTAAGTTTGATTGTATTAAAAAACCACTCCTTTAATATGTATCTTACACAATTTATTAAATGATTAAAATAATTTAATGGTGATGGTAAGAGTTACATGGTAAAAAGAATTTTCCAGTCAAATGGACTTATTTAGTCTAGGTTCTTCCATTTATTTATGATATCTATTTAGGCCTCTACAAAGACCCATATACTTATCAACTCAGTTACATATGAAATTCTTTACAAGTTTTACTTTCTTTTAAAACACTTTTATAAACCTAAATACCTTTTACAATTTACTCAAGCCTGTACTTAAGTTTTGTATGAAATCCCCTGTTTGAGACCAAGTAATCTTTACAACAACAACAACAAAAATCTATCTTTTGAACACAACTTTAAATAAGCTTAATTCCAGCCTACTTTGGAACCATCCTAACATGAAGGACAAGAGGCGGAGCTCAGGTGGGGCTGGCCTCTTGACAAATCTTAAAGTGTTTTATTTCTGAAGTTGATTTTTGCCTCTTTTTTAAGGAATCCTTCTACAAAGTACTTATATATTGTTTGCTGATCTATCTGAATATCAGTTAACACAAATTACCCCTGAAACATAAATCAAACAAAAAGGCCAAGAGACCTCTTAACTTTCTTTTTGTGGAAAAAGTGGCAAAATGTTTTCATATGGCACATTGTCAACCTTGAAACAAATCAGGCTTTCCTTATATATTCCTCAATTTAGAGATGAGGAAATGAGTCCCAGAGGGAATGAGAATTATTTAAGATCTCTTATGACCAAAGAAGATCACAACTAAGACTCCTAGCTCATTGCTCTTCAGAGGCAGTCTGGGTGCAGGTAAGTGATTTGGAGGTCTCAAGAGGCTTCTCCTTTTGTCTCAGACTCTGTCCCTTTTTCAATATTACCCTTTCTAGGTTCCTTCCTTAGGACCCTCAATTTCCTTGGGGCTAAGCTATTTAAGTTCCTTTTATGAGGTGCTGACTTCCCATCGCACACAGTCAGGATCCATCACTATCTTCTGAACTAGTAAAGGATTGGAACCATGAAAGGTGGGGCAGAAGAGAGGGACCTGGATTGCCAGTGGCCAACTCTGCTGCTCTTGGTTTACCAGGTGGGCTCTGCCCCAGAGACTCAGAAGGGAGGAAGGGCAGATTCTGCAAATGCTATTGGGATTTCAGAAGATGCAGAGAATGAGTCCACACCTTATTTTCTTGTTTACCAGGAAAATTAACCCCTTTCAATTTAGGGGGGGAAAATTATCCCTACCCTGTAGCAAGACATATATTTGCCTTTTCAGCCTGTTCCAACTTTGGAGGAAGTAATGTATTTCAAGGGACCACTCTCAGCTGCCCTTGATTTACCCTGGATTTGTCCACACATTCTCAAAGGAGCCCTAACCCTGTCATGCTGTAAACAACTCTGCAGCCCACCACCTGCCTGGTGCCTTGCAGGGTATCAGCCACTCCCTTTCTGAGCTTCTCTTTTTTGGGGGGAGTACCAGGGATTGAACTCAGGGGCACTTGACTACTGAGCCATATCCCCAGCCCTATTTTGTATTTTACTTAGAAATAAGGTCTTGCTGAGTTGCTTAGGGCCTAGCTAAATTGCTGAGGCTGGCCTTGAATTTGCAATCCTCCAGTTTTAGCCTCAGTCATTGGGATTACAGCTGTGTGCCATCACCATGCCCAGCTCACAAGGCTCCTTTCTTCTTAGGGTCTCACTGAGTTGCTAAGCCTCACTGTTGCTGAGGCTGCTTTGAACTCTTGATCCTTCTTGTTTCAGCCTCCCAAACCGCTGGGATTACAGGTGTAGGCTCCCTCACCAGGGACAAGGCTCCTTTCTCTAGGTGAATAATCCAGTCTGCACATGGCTCTGAGCTTTCTACAAAAAGATTCAGAAGGCCCCTGCTCTACACAGAATCTATTGCTGCCTCCTTGTCAACCTGACCACTTGTTATCTCTTCTGCTTGAATTTCAAGACCTTCTATACTCTAGTATCAAACTACTGCCTGCTATTTTTCACCCTAAAATAACCTGTTATTGTGGGCAAGTCACCATCAAGGTCACCGTACCCATGACCTCAATTCTGCTCCTATGGCTTGTGCATGCTGGTTATTTTCACCAAGTGCCAAGATCATCCTGTTGTTTGCTTTTCTGGGAGGGCAGAGGTCACCAAAAAAGGTGACCAATATCCGGGCACAAACAAGATGAGTGCGTCAAGCCTGAAGGAATAAACAGAGGGGGCAGTGGCAGATTGTGGAGGTGCTGCTACTATACCCCCAGGAGGATGCAAATTCCCAGCGGAGTTATCAGGTAGTGTGCAGAGTGCCTAGGGGCAACAAAAATGCTCAAATTTTAGTTTTTGAAAATGATTAGAAATAATGAACATATGTGAATAAAATAATATAAATCCAGCCTGGGTTTGTTAGGTGCAGGACAGGCTGAACTAAGTTGTCTGCAGGGCAGGCTGAATAGCTGCAGGATAACCCACACACTCAAACCCCCCTGTCTGTCCTTTATCACCTGTTTGCATCAAGTCTGAACACTCAACCCCACTCAAGGCTGAACACTCGACCCCCACTGTCTAGTGCAACGGAAACCCACATCTAGCCCCTGCCCCCTCTGCCTGAAGGCAGAAGATGACACTACTGTATGATCCAATCACTGTATGCCAACAAGGCAGTTTGCAGACCCAGAGACCCCATTAGATTTGGGCTATTAAAAATTCCCTCCTGCCATTCCTCTCTCTCTTGCTCTCTGTCTTCTCTTGCTTTCACTTTCCCTCTCACTCCTCTCCTCTTCTCTCTTTGTTCTCCCCGCCTCTTTCTTTCTCTCTTTTCTCCTCTTTTGCACTGCTGCAATAAAGATCTCTTGGTCGCTCTGAGTGTTGTGGTCACTGTCCTTTCAGGATTAATCTTTATGCCATCGCATTTTTAAAGTATACTTTTAAAAGAAGTTCTCTTTCCCTTTCCCTCTCTCCCCATTTTTTTTTTTTTTTTTTTTTTTTTTGGTATTGGGGATTGAATGCAGGTGCACTTTGCCACTGAATTACATCCCTAGACTTTTAAAATTAAAAAAATATATATATATTTTCTAAGAGAGTCGCTAAATTGCAGAGGTTGACCAGAAATTTGCGATCCTCCTGTTTCAGCCTCCCAGTAATAGGGATCACAGTGGGGGGGGGGGCATCGTGCCTGGCCGAAACATTATTGTTTAAAATGAAGGAAAGGGGTCCACAAGGACAAAAAGTATGGTCCAGAATAGTCATATTCACTGGGTACAGTGTTTAAACTTTCTGTTTTTTTTTTATGGATCTTTGGATATTTAAATTAGAGCTCCAGGTTTCAAATAATTTTAAAAGTTGGTTTTAAAGTTAGGAGAACAAAAATTAACATTCTGTGGCTCAATAAAACACGTAGGGTTGAGGGAGATGCTGAAACCTCTCCAAGATCAAGGGTGATGGACTGCAAGTGGCGCGACTCCTCTTCAGGGGACAAGCCTTCTGCCCGGAGTGCCCAAGCCCTCGCTAGGGTTGCAGGAGGAGCCCTAGAACTCCTGGCGGGTGTAGCAAGGCCCCAGGCTGGGGCCCTGCGGCGCCAGGTCTAGAAGGTCGGTCGCCGCCCCCAGCAGCCCAACCTTCCGGCCCGCGCGCCCGCCGCCGGCAGAGGCCGCCCTCGAGCAACTCGGACACAATCTTCCAAAGATTTCCGGGCTCCAGCATGCCACCTGGCCGCCCGCACCCCGCGGAAAGTCGTTCGCGCCTTCCAGCGCACTTCTCGGCTGGGGTCGCCGGGCAGCGAGCTGTTGCCGCGGGATATCTTGAGTCTCCGAGCCCAGGCCCCGCCCCTCGTCTCGCGTCATCACAGCCGCGAGGCCTGCCTGCCGGCTCCCAGTGCTGGGTCCTGCCCCTCGCAGCCCTCTCCTAGGAGTGAAGCCCCGCCGAGTACGCGGTGTTGGCTTGTAGCCGCAGGGACCAGGCCGCCTCTCCCACGGCGCTGCCCGGGACGCGGCCTGCGCCCTTTGCAAGGCCCCAGTTCGGCCATGTTAACCCGCCCTCCAGCCCCGAGGGGAATACTCGTAGGTTTTTCCAGCTTGCTGGCCTCGGAATAGCCAGGCAGCATGTGTATGCCCAGCCGGAAGTTGCAAACGACCGGGTCCGAGCTAGGAGCCGCGAGTGGCAGACGCGCATGCTCCGCGGAAGCCCGCACCCGGCCGAGTGAACCCTGATAGAGCTATCGCGAGGACGGCTAAGCGGAGCTCCAGTGGCGCAATCGGTTAGCGCGCGGTACTTATACAGCAGTACATGCAGAGCAATGCCGAGGTTGTGAGTTCGAGCCTCACCTGGAGCACGGCCCCTTTTTTAGATATCCTGAAGATTCATTTTATCTCCTTGCCGAAAGGAGACTTCTCAGTTCCTGTCTCGAAACTACTCTGCCTCAAGTCGCGCTCGGCCACTAGCAGGAAGCACAGCGCAGTGGAATCTTATACCTGTTTCCCGATCGGTTTGCAACATCCAGCACTCGAACCCAGTCGTCCATCTATCTGCCCCCATCTAGTTATTCTTCGGCGGGTCTTTAATGTCATTCTGTCCTGGGGATGCGGCCCGGAGGTGCTTGAGCGCTACCCGGTGGCGGTCACGCTTTCGGGGCGAAGGGATCGGATGCCCCGGTGCTCCTCCCTGCAGGGTGAGCCCTACCTCCCGGCGCCGGGAATGAAGCCTGGGGTCTCAGCCGCGACGCTCGTCCTGGGGCGGGTGCAGCCAGGCCACACTCCTGGCGTGGCGGCCCGAGGCGCACAGGCGGAGCCGGGACGATCTGCTCCCCTGACTTTTAACTAGCAGTAACCACCTTCTTACTGCCCCATCCTTGGGTTCGCGCAGACCCCCGGCCTGCGGGCCCTCTTCCCGGTCGCAGGCGCCCCGCCCTCTCGCGGTAGCTTTGCAGTTTGAGAAAAGTGCCCGGGGCGTTTCCTCTCCCCCCGGCGCTGTCACTCTGAAGTGGTGGCGCTAGCTAGTGGTCTAGAGAGGAGACGTTTTCTAGGGCTATTTGAGCGGCAGGCCCCCAATCCGGTTCAGGAGTTTTCTCCGGGGACAGACTCCCCGCGCCCGTGGCCAATTGGGGTTGGGGCCAGCTGGACACTCCTCAGGCTGCTGTGAGGCGCGGGGGCACTGTCGAGGGGTGGGTGAGGGCGCCCTGCGCGGGCGGTGTGGGCAGAGCGGGAACGTGTTCAGCTCGAGCGGGGCGGGAGCCTCGTGGACCGGAGCCTCGTGGACGTGTCCTCTCGAAAGGGCGGTTTTCAGCTGCTCTTACGAAGCGCGAGTCGTTAATTTCCGGGATGGATGTAATGTATAACCCAGAGTGGAGAAACGCAGGGTCCAGAAAGCTCTAAGAAGAGGATGGAGGGTGGCGCTCTCGTCGGCTTCCTCGGCGCCCATCCCAGCCGTCGGTGGCTCTCGCCCCCCCAGCCCCGGTTCCGGAGGCAGCCGCAGTGCCGCGAGCAAGTCCGCCCACCTCACCTCATCCTGGGGCGCAGGGCCTCCGCCTTCAGCTCGGGGACTCGTCCTCTGCAGGGTAGCGCGAGCCCCCCAGTAGAGATCCAGCTCAGGCTTGGAAATAAATAGAGTCTTTATCCATTAAAAAAGGTGCTCATTTTCTTCTTGAAAACTTTATTATAATATAAATCGCATATCATATAATTTACCCACTTAAAGCGTACGACTCAATTACTTTTAGTATATTTATAGGTTTTTGCAACCAGCTCGCAGTCAGTTGTTGAGTAATTTCATCACTTCAGGAAGAAACCCTTTATCCCTTTAGCTGTACCCCTGCGGGTCACATAATCTCCCCACCTCACATCACGAATCTACTTCCTGACTCTATGGAGTTCCTACTTCTGAACTTCTATAGGAATGGAATCATCCAGCATGTGGCCTTTTGTGTTTTTTTTCCCCTTCCATTTTCCATAAGGTTTTCGAGATTCATCCATGTTGTACTACACATCACTACTTATTTTATTTTGTTTCACATTTTTTTTTTTTTTGAGAGGGGGTCTCCTGTTGCCTAGGCTAGTCTGGAACTACTAAGATCAAGTGATCCTCCTGCCTCAGACTTCCAAGCAGCCGGGAATACTGAATGCTACTGGTATCACCCAACGGGCTCATTTCTTTTTATGACAGAATAATATTCCATGTATAGATTATTTTCATACAGGAGAGAAAAGGCTGGCATTTTCGCTGAAAACTTCTTTTCCAGAGGGAATTAATTTTAAAAAGTACAAAGCATAAGAGTGACCTACTGCACCTATCTGAATTTCAGAGGTTTCTCACTGACCGGGAGGAGCTGGTGGGTTCTGAGAGCTGAGCCCAGAGCAGATTCCCTAGAAGGGCAACCATAAATGAGTGAAAGATCATTATATCCAGCTTCCTGTCTATACAGGAACCCTTGTTCAAAACCCCAGCTGTTATTTGAAAATTTCTAGCTTCAGAATTTCCTTTCAAGACAATCCTTTCCATTTTCTGACAACTGTTCTGGTTAGAACCTTCTTCGTAAGTATTGTTTGTGTCCCTACTGATTACTGCCCAGATGGTGACTTTAGGGACTCTTTTTCTGGTGGGGTGGAAAGGAAGGAAACTAGTTGTTTAATCTAGAAATCCACACTAGGACATCATTGGTGGGCAACAAACAGACTTGGCAGATTTGTAGTCCAAAGTCAATTTCTTTTTTTCTTTTAGATACAGAAGTTCTGAACTTGGGTGCTCTACCATCGAGCTACTTCCTCAGTGATTTTAATTTTTATTTTTTATTTTGAGGCAGGGTCTGGCTAAATTGCTGAGACTGGCCTGGAACTTGTGATCCTTCTGCTTCTGCCTCCTGAGTTGCTGTGATTACAGGCATTGTGCTACTGCCCCTGGCTATAGCTCAAAGCCTTATAATAATGTTGACAGGACTTTTAGAAGGTTTCAGTGGGTAACAAAAATCAAATCAGAAAATTATGGGATAATAGTTTCTAAACTACAAAATACTATGTCATTACTATTGACAACAGACTACTGGATTCAGCCTGGGTATAATGTATGATGGCTTCAAGGAGGAAGATAGCTAACGATGAGGTACACAAACTGGAAAGGAAGGTTGACATGATATTTGGATAGCCTCAGATCCCCAGCAGGAGAGAAGCTTGATGTACTCCAGGCTGCTATCAGCTTTGTAGATGGAAAGACAGGCTCATCAAAGCTGTGTGCGAGACAAAGCCTGAAAGGAGTGAAGATACAGTAGAATTTGGAGGAAGAGTGGAGCCAATCCAGTGATAAATGTTTCTGACAAATGACAAGATGCAATTTAATACAGATCACTCTAAGTCTATGTTCCATTCAAAGTACAGTGTGTGGAGATGCCTGGCTCGACGGCTATTTGCATATAAAAAAAATTGGGGGATTTCAGACGTGTACAGCCTCAGTTGTGCCAGCATTGTGACCCAACTGCTGGGGAAGTCAAGCAATTATTAATGCATTATTGTATAATGTGTTACAGGGCGTGGTGTCAGGGATCACAAAACAACAGTCTGTGGCACAAATCTAGACTACAGACAGGTTTTGCTGGGTTTGCTAGCAAAACTGAACTGCAAAATGTTTCCATTAAAAAAAATCATTTGCATATTTAGCAATAATTCATGAAAATGGATTGAAGTGGCATCCCCCTTTCTCCACAGAAAAGCCCTCTTCACCATGGCTAATTTTAGGACTGTCAGCAAAACAGTCTCTGCGAAAGAATCCAATGTAGATAAACTTCCTATTTTCGTGTTGCCCTGTTTTACTTGGCCACTGGCCGGGAAGATACCAGCACTCCAGGTGCTGGACACCTCCTTACTAGTTTTTCACAAACGTATCCAGTATAGTACTTTGAAGAAATGTGCAAACAAGGCCTCTGGCCTTGAGCTGGGGCTTCACAGAGATGTCTACATTCTTAAGATAAGTAACAAATGGGCTCCATGGTAACAGCTGGCAGGGGGAGGAAAGGAAGGGGAGAAGAATCTTCCCCCTTCTCAGGTGTTGTCCTTGAAGAGTTAACTTGCCCAGAACAGTGAAGGAAAAAGCTGCTTTTATGTGAACTTCTGCAGACTGTGAACTTCTGGGCCCCTCCCCTTACATGCTGGGTAGAAAACTCTGAAACTACCTGAACTTGGGGTTCAGGGATTAATTGATTACAGCAAAAGCTGTGCCCTCTGAACCTGGCTGCAGCCAAATAAAACTGTTTCCTGCTATCTTCGGTGCCTTGCCTTGTTTGTCCCTACAATAGGATAATTTCAGAGGACTGTCTATATTTCTAGTTCCTAATGAAAAAAAATATCAGAAGATGACTGCCTATCTGGGACTTTATTCCTCCCTGGCAACATTGGCTGCCCCCTCTTGGAGGTTTATGCCTTCTCTGGTTTGCCACTGTCCCTTGCCACCTTCCATTAATCTCCAGCAGAGAGGTGGGGGACAGCTGCCATGATTCACCCCGGACTCATCTCACTCATTTGCACCCTCCAGTCATTGAGTGTGGGGCTTATGCACTGATAAAGGGAGGGAGTACTCCTGTGGAATTTTCAGTTGGTCCAAACACAGCCAAAGGGCTGTGATCTGTATGAACAGGCGCATTTAAAATTCAACAAAATTAAAAAAAAATAAAACAAAACCAAAGTTCAATTCTCTATTGTAGAATATTTCAAACATATACAAAAGTAGAGAAATAGCACACATCCATCTCTTCATAAAGAATTGTTTCATCAACTCCCTCATGATATTCGCCTCTACCCCTGAAAATCCCAGAGAGAGTTTAATTTATTTTACTAAAACTGCATTAGGTTTGCCCGACAGGTAACCACAGTATGATTTCTGCAACTAACAAGAACAACAGTAATTGCTTAGCCTCATCTCATACCTAGTCTACGTTCAAGTTTCTACAACTGTCTCTGAAAGGTATGTTTAAATTAAGATCCAAACAAGATACATACTTTGAATTTGACCAATGTATTTTTACAATTTCTATTAATCTCTATTAATTCTCTTTCATCCCACAGTCTATTAAAACATTTATGTGACAAATCTGCCTAATTGCATATTGCTGGGGGGCGGGGGGAGGGTACTGGGGATTGAACTCAGGGGCATTAAACCTCTGAGCCACATCCTCAGCCCTATTTTGTATTTTATTTTGAGACAGGTTTTCACGAGTTGCTTAGTGCCTCGCTTTTTTGCTGGGGCTGTCTTTGAACTCAAGATCTTCCTGTCTCAGCCTCCTGAGCTGCTAGGATTATAGGCATGCACCACAGCACCCAGCTCCTAAATTTTTTAGTTGTAGTTGGACACAGCATATTTATTTATTTATTTGTTTATTTTTATAGTGCTGAGGATCAGACCCAGCACCTTGCACGTGGTAGGCGAGTACTGTACTGCTGAGTCCAACCCTAGCACCACTAATTGCATTCTTAAGATGTCCTTTAACATGTTCTTAAATCTCCTATGGCAGTTAGATCTATATAATATTCACATTTATTTATTTGAAAAATACCTATTCCAGGGGGTACTGTATACTATTGCACCACAACAGAAAGTACATAATGTATAGTTGTGTTTCATTTTGTGATGTTAGTTTTGATTGTTAATATTGGATTGTGATCAGCCTAATTTCCATTAGAGAATTCCACATTAGCTCTAACCTAATTATTTCAACAACCAATGTGTAGATCTACTATTTTTAATTGAGGATTATACAATGATAATTTTTTGTTCTATTATTCCTTCTATTCTTATGACTATGTTTCAAAAAAATCCTTTCTCTGTTTAGTTTTAAGTACTTAGTTCTTCTAAAACACAATTCACAGAGAAAAGACTGAATAAATAACTGCTTGATTCTCTTTTTCTATGTATCTTTATAATAATGAATTGATGCCCTAATAATCTCCAAAGGAAACCAGTTAGTTTTAAATTTTATAGCTGTTTTTGGAATTATGATTGATGTAAAATGAACTGCAGGGGTAATGTTGAATAGTTTTTCATGTGCTTATTAGACATTTATGTCTTTTTGGTGAAGTGTTTGTTCAAACATTTTGCCCATTTTTTAATGGAGCTGTTTAACTTTTTTATTATTGAGTTGAGAATTTTTTGGAATGTTTTAGATATAGTTCCTATGTTAGATATATAATTTGTAAATAATTCCTCCCAGTGTATTAGTCAGGGTTCTCTAGGGACACAAAACCAAGAGACCATTAGCAACCAGGTTACCGTACACGTGATGAATGTATTGCACTAGACATTATAACTGCTATAACATAATTAAATGATAAGACATTTTCAACTCCATTATAATCAGTGTTTTTTTTTTTTGTATGTGTGTGTGTGTGTGTGTGTGTTACTGGGGGTTGAACCCAGGTCTTCATGGTAGCCAAGCACTGAGCTACATTCCCTGCTACATTTCTATTTTGAGACAGGGTTTCATTAAGTTACCCAGACTGGACTTGAACTTGTCATCCTCCCACCTCAATCTCCATAGTAGCTGGGATTACAGAAATATCCACTGTGCCTGACTTTCATTTAGTCTTATGGGATCACGGTTATATACATGGTCTGTCATTGACTAAAACATTGGTATGTAGCACATGGCTATAATTTTTCTCTTTTTTATATTTGGTTTTAATATGTTTCTCTTTTTTATAATTGGTTTCTTTCTTTTTCTCTTTTTTCCCTCCCTCCTTCCCTCCCTCCCTTCCTTTCTTTGGTACCAGGGATTGAACCCAGGGGTGCTTAATCACTGAGCCACATCCCCAGCCCTTTTTATTTTTTATTTTGAGACAGGGTTTTACTAAGTTGCTTAGGGCCTTGCTAAGTTGCTGAGGTTGGCTTTGAACTCATGATCCTCCTGCCTCAGCCTCCCTGGTTTCTGAGATTACAGATGTGCACCACCATGCCCTGTTCTTTAAAGTTTTAAAGCAGAAGTAATTGATTTGACATTTCTCTTCTAGTACAGGCATTTTTAGTGCTATAAAATTTTTTCTTAAGTACTGCTTTAGCTGCCTCCCACAAATGTACCATGTTTTCATTTTTGTTTGATTCAAAATATGTTCATTTGATTTCCTTTCTAATCCATGGATTATTTAGAAATATGAACTTAGTTTTCAAACATTTGAGGATCTTCCAGATATCTTTCTGTTATTGATTCCCAGTTTAATTCCATTGTGATCAGAACTCCTTTGAATTCTTTAAAATTTCTGGGGCTTTTTTTTATAACCCAGAATATGGTTGTTAGTAAATGATAATGTGTTGTTATTGGGCAGAGTATTCTATCAATGTCAGTGTTATCAGATTGGTTAATAGGGTTGTACAAGTCTTCTATATCATTGATTTTCTACCTATTTTTTTTATCATTGAGAGAAGATTAACCATAATGGCTTTTTCTCTTTTTCCTTTTAGTTCTATTTCTTTCTGCTTTATATAGTTTGAAGCTCTGTCATGTGGTGTGAAATGTTAGGATTGATTAATTGACCCCATTATCATGATTGATTGATTACTTCATTTGTTCCATTTGGCTAGCAAAAGTCATATCAGTTTGGCTCCTGGATATTTTTGACACAATTTCAAGTTTTTCATAGCCTCCTTGTTTCTGGCATTATAAGATATTCCAAAATAATTTGTGCATGTCCTTCTGCAAACCTGGAGTAAATCGTTTCTCCCAGAAGCGTAGCTCCTTTTGTTGGAAAATGTTACTTAGAGACTATAATCTGTGTGCTAGGGTTTCTTATAGGTATTCCATGGTAGCCATATTATCTAGGCTTTTTCAGTGGGCAGAGCTAGGAAATTCAGATTTTTTAAAATGAGAAAAAGAAATCCTAGTTTACAGTGACATTTCCAATTAAAAAAAAATTTTTTTTTTTTTGGTATCAGGGATTGAACCCAGGGACACTTACACTAAGCCACATCCCTAGCCCTTAAAAACTTTTTGTTACTTTGAGAGAGAGTTTTGATAAGTTTCTTAGGGTCTTGCTAAATTGCTGAAGCTAGCTTTGAACTTGTGGTCCTCCTGCCTCAGTCTCCTGAGAGGCTGGGGTTACAGGCATGCACCATCATGCCTGACTTATTTTTGATCATTTAAAAATGACTGTTTGTCTTATTCTTTCATTGTTTATTTTTTTAAGTATAAGGAAATACACATTTGTATTCTACATCCTCCTCTTTTCATTCAAAATCCATTTCATTCTTTGTTGACTTCACTACTATGTTCTGAAGATCCTTTCAAAGTTGCAGCTAGATCTCTTCCTCACTCCTTATCACAGTTTCGCAGTACTTACTAACGTGGATGTACCACCAAGCGTCTACCAGTCCTCGGCTAGGGAACATTTGGATGGTTTCAGTGTTCTGGTGTGGGGTCACAGACAGTGCTGCAGGGAGAAGCTCTAGTCACATATTGTTTTGGATACTTTGCTTGTGTGTCTCTGGGATGGATTCTAGAAGAGGGAGGGCTGGAACTATCAATTAATCTATCTATCCATCTATCTCTTATTTATCTATCTATATCTGTATCTGTATCTATATATATCTATATCTGTATCTGTATCTGTATCTTTATCTGTATCTGTATCTGTATCTATATCTATATCTGCATTTGCATCTGTATCTGTATCTGTATCTATATCTAATCTATATCTATATATCTATTCTTCCATCCATCCACCTATTACATGTTTCCAGATGTGCAACATCACTTTTAAGGATGTTACTGATACAATGATTGATGAACATGAGGCATCTAGAATCCACATTGTAAGAGCAGTGCTTTGAGGGCCTGGGTGGATTGATGCTAGAAAGTTCATGTAAATAATGTGCTTTAATTCCAGTGCGGCTTCACTGAATGTGTTTCCTGATTGCCATCAAAGGAAGCAGGACCTACTGAGGCTTGGACGCAAGGCCTGACCAGTGGAGTTGCTCAGCCTGCAGGGGTGTCCTGCTCTAGGAGAGGCCCAGGAAACTCCTCATTCACCTGCAGCTTCTGGCTCCCTGGATTCTGTTCTTTTGCCTTTAGCTTAGTTTATTTCTGTTTTATTTTAATCTTATAACCTTTTAAATATTTTGAAAACCATCTTATTTAATTGATTATTATTTTCTTGTCTGAATGTTTCTTTCTTCTTAAACTTAAAAAATTTTTTTTTCTGCCTTGACTATTTCATTCTTTTAAAATATTTTGGTAATGAATACATTCTTTCCCTCTAAAATTTTGTTACATTTTTTTCCCTCTGATCTTAGTCTTTTCATTCATTTTCCTCTTAACTTTTCCTTACATCTATTTTTTATCTTACATAGTTCCTTTATTATTATTATTATTATTATTTGGTGGCGCTGGGGATCAATCCCAGGGCCTCAGTGCATGCAAGGCAAGCACTCTACCAACTAAGCTGTATCCCAGCCCTACTTTCTCCTTTTTAACTTAAAAGTGTAAAACAGAACTCTCTTTAATTGTTTTTATTCTCTCTGCTGGTTGAATGGCCCCCAAGTAGTATAGCCAGGCATTTAGGACCACAAATGGACAGGGAAAGACACATTGGTTTATCCCCAGGCCATCCCCAGGGGATGTGGATCTGGGAGGACAGAGGACTGGGAGAAAGAAGGCAACATTAGAGAGAGACAGGGGAAGAGAGAGATCTGACCACGTCTCCCTCTCTGATTCTTAAGTCTGGTCTCACCCATGCATTTTCTGAGGTTTGAGTGTGAGCCAAAAATATTGCCTTTTGGTATTAGCCAATTAGATTCAGGCGTTTGTCACTTGTAGGCAAAAGAAGTCTTGACCAATGGGGTGGTTGTGCAACATGGCATTTTACTTTGATGTTCCATCTTTCAAGTTTCTTAATGAGAATTTCTTTCATAAGGCAAAGCAACATTCTTTCTGACCAAGTAAAATTACAAAAATTACCGTAATCTTTCCATCTGTTAAACTGGGCTGGGTATACCAATGTGTCCTTCCTTCTCTGTTCCTTTGTACAAAGCCAGCACTCTCCAGCGACACACTTGACACCTCCACTCAGAGGACTCATAAACAGCCTAAACTGGACTCGTTCAAAACACCACTGTTTTTTCCTTTCCCAGCTCTGCCCTAGTCTTTTTCATTCTACAAAATGTGTTCTAATTCTACAAACAGAGAGGAAACTGTTGTTTCTTGAACACCTGCGTTGAGTTGAGCCGGTCTGCTGCCCTTGCCCTATTACCTAATGCATTCCTCAACCCTTTATGTCTCTCCCATTTTGGAGACTGCACACTGAGGCTCAATAGGTTAGATAATTGCCCAAGCTCCAACATCTGCGAAACAAAGGGGATGGGAGTGACAAAGTCCCCCTGACCCCAAAGCACAGGCTAGGTGTTTTGCTGCGGGGCTGCACAGCCAGCTTTATGCCGCACGGTGGCGCTGCGGCCATGTCCCGGAAGGTTCCTCTGCGCGCTGGAGGTGGGTAGGGGAGTCCCCAGCCTGCAGGGGCGCCTCTCTATGGCTTTAACAGCGGTCCAAGTTATCTCTCCTGGAAAAAGGAGTTGCTCCCCCAAGGTGGGCGCCGGTGGGAGGGGCCGGGCAGAGCAGAGACCCTTTCTTTCCTACAGGCTGGCTGAGCCTGGGCTAGAAGAACCTGGAACCAGAGTTTGGAGTCCTGGGTGCCCCAGCAAGAGAAAAGAGGGTGACCACAGGACATCTTCGCTGAGGCCACAGGAAAAAACGGTCCCCATGGGCACCAGACTGCATTTACTGTTTGGAAAAATGGCTCCTTTGGAAGCTGGCTGTTTCATCACCTGCTTTGTCTGTAAGGACTGATCCCTGGCTTCGCCCAGGGTGCAGCCTTTGGAGATTCTCATCAGAAGCAGCCTGGCCATCCACAAACCGTTAAATCTTTTTACCAGTCCACACTGTGATGAGCTAGGCATCAGCTGCCTGACCATGGACTTGGCCTGCAGTAGCAGTATCAGAATATAAAACTGTGACAGAACTCTAGGACCATGGCTTTGCTCTGCTCTTCAGTGCTTCCTACAGTCAAGCCATTCTCAGCCCTTTATGGAGGAGTTCACTGAAGCCCCTCAGAGAGCAGGTGGTGATGGGGAAGAGGTAGATGAAGGAGACCACAGGGGGCTTTAGAAACAGGGGTGCTTGTCAGTGGGTCAGTGAAGCAAGAAGCAGAGGATGTGGGCTGCTGAGGACACTTAGTCAACTTGCAGTTCTGCCTTTTCCCTGTCTGTGAGCTGAGGGTTGTGGCAGAACTTTTTTTTTTTTTCTGGTATTAAATTTTCATTCATTAACTGTCCACACAAAATCAATTAAACTATTTTGATTTATTTTTAAAATGTCATTTTAATTTTTTTATTCAATAGGCAACACAATTCAAAGGGTTCAAAATAAGTAGCCTTTTAACACACAAACAAATCAACAACTTAATATTCCTAACAGTAAAGCAGCAAGACATTAAAAGACAATTCATGGGAAAAAAAAGTGTGGTAAGAGTGTCACATTTGGTATTGCAAAACTCTTTTTCCCTTGAGTCCTGCTTGTCTTTAATGTTGGGATATTTTTGATGTACAGAAATTGCAACGTTTTGTTAAGCCATGCATTTCCCGGTATGATCTCAATGCAGCCTGGAGAGTCACTGCTCATCCTGAGATCTGAGAAATCGTCTTCTTCTGCAATTGGTTTTTCATGGCTTCGTGGTTTGCTCTCTCATCGACCTCAGAGATGTTTTTATTAGTGATGTGATTGAGAGGCAGAGCAGAGGTGGTGTGGCTACTGAGAATGGCACTTTGGGAGTACAGTTGGCCTCAAGACAAGCAGGCTGAGAGGAGCTGGCCTCAGGAAGTGGGTCCCTCCTGCTGGGGAAGAGGGCCTGGGGGACTGACTTGGCCATTGGGACTCAGGGGTGGGGCAGACTCTGCCTACAGTCTGGCTGCCCTTGTCTTTTGGCTCAATGTGCAGGAGTCCCAGGGCATGAGGTGAGTGTGGAGAATCTGAGTGATTCTAGAGCTGGGGTTGCAAAAATCCAGACACTGGACATTGGGAATCTAGGGAGACTATAAGAGTGAAAGCTCTGAATGGGAACCAAGGTGGGCCCAGTCCACCAGACCACCAAGGTGAGTCCTCCAGTATCAGCCACCCCTCCAGGCAGTTGAGGACTCCATTGATCAGGGAGGCTTTTCTCAGGATACACCTGGCAGCCAGCTGCATGTGCTGCATTCCAGAAAATGGCACCAAAGCAGCTGAAATGTCCCGTTTGTATCGCATGTAAATCCTTAGGAAAGGGAGTCAATGAACACATATGTCAGACCCTGAGGCAAGTCCAGGGTCATCACCACTGCTTCCAGCCTTGGTCCCAGCAGGAGGAGGGGCGTGTGCTTCTCACCCTCTTGCACTGCCTCCTTGGATGTTGAGGAGAGCCATGTGAACCTTATCCATAGGGGACACCTATTCTGAGCAGCCATGGACACAGCTCTTGCCTGGGAGGCGGGAGATGAAGCATAACCTTCAAGCCACCCCCAGTTATGTGACTCAGGCTGCATGCTGCTCTTTCTTGGGTATAAGGGTCCTCGCCATAAAATGGGATGGTGTCTTTCCAACAGGGGCCAGGCAGAGGATAGCAGAGATGGCTTCCACAAAGGATAACGAGAAGCAGCAGGACCGTTCTGCCATCAACCAGGTAGTGATATGAGAATGCATCACCAGCATTCACAAGTGCATCCTTGAAGTAAGCTTCAAGAAGAATGTCCCTCAAAGAGATCTGGAAATTTGCAGTGAAGGAGAAGGGGACTCCAGATGTATGTGGGGAAAGCTAGGCTCAACAAAGGTGTCAACAAAGAAATAAGGAATGTCCCATAGGGTCACCCTGTGCGCTTGTCCAGGAGACACAATGAGGACGAAGACAAGCTCTATACCTTGGTAATCCTTGTCCTTGTTACCACTTTCATTCATGTTGTGAATGAGAACCAACCACTGATTGTCCATTATAAAACCACCAAAAAACCGTGGGATAGTGGTCTTGCTCCAAACTGCATACAGTTAACCAAATAAGGAAATAGTGGAGAAGCTACTTTGGAAAAGGAAAAGTGAATCATTCAGGTGTAATCTACCCTTGGCACTCCTCCTCCCAAGGCTGATGGAACCTGGTTGCTGACCTGGGTTGTTTTTCCTGGCAGTGCCAGCAGGTGGCAGCATCCGCCCCTGTATGTGTTTGTCTCCACCAGGAGCTCCTCTGAGACACTAGTGTAGGACCCAGATTAGTTCTTCGTTGAATTCACAGCCCAGGTTCTCACCTCCCTGGACAGGAAGGGGCCGGGGAAGAAGGGATCCAAAATCCCCAGGACAAGGAAGGTTTGGAACCAGAACAAAAACTTTGTCTCTCTCCTCAAAAAAAGCACAGATCAGCCAGTAGAGAGGGAATGGGGGGAATGACGTGAGCTCTTCTTTTTTTTTGGTAGCAGCGATTGAACCCAGGGGCACTTAACCACTGAGCCACATTTCCAGCCCTTTTGTATATTTTATTTAGAGACAGAATCTCACTGTCTCTAGTTGCTCAGGGCTTCACCAAGTTGCTCAGACTGGCTTTGAACTTGAGATCCTCCTGCCTCAGCCTCCCGAGCCACTGGGATTACAGGCATGAGCCACTATGCCCCGCTGAAGGGTCACCTTGCTCTTTTTGGAAATCGTAGTGTCCCACCCTTCCTGGAAGAGGCAATTTGGGATCTAGAGTGTTAGGACTTCTCCTCTCTTGGGGTCATTGTCTTCAGTTAGAAAGGCCAGCTGACATTTCAGTGGGGCGGTGGCGAGTCCTTTATTTTTGATGTGTACAAGTTTGAAAATTTAATTCACATTACAGTTAATTTGTTCAAGAAAAAGAAAAAAAAAAGAAATTCTCTTATTTCTTTGTTGGTTTATAATGAATCTGGCCTCCTCCCCCCAAAAGATGATTAGTGAGAAAAACAATGAAATGTTCAACTTGATTTCAACGTCATGGGACCAGAGTTAAGCCTGTCTTGTTAAGCAATCATAATTTCTCTTGCATAAAAGTGCTTATGTCTCAGATTACCTTCCCCAGCTTCTCCCACTAAAATGGTGTTAGGGTGTGTGGACAGACAAGGGCAGCTGTGTAACATCTGGTGGGAGGAAGGAGTTGGGATCCTGGGGTGTGGTGACCGCTGATTTCCCGGCAAGGGGTGCAAGGGCCACTGTCTCCCCTTGGCCACTGACTGCACTTGA